AAATCCATAGCAGTTGGGGGCTGGCATGGGCTACCAAATAATAACAATAACAGCAAAACCCAAATCAAAAGACTGATAGGGGAAATGAAGGCTATAATTTAGGAGGCTCATCCTATGGTGGTGGGGGGGCATGATACCCTGAGAAGGGGGCATACCTCTCCTCATTTTATAAAAAAAAAATGGAAGCACAGAGCAACCAGCGACTTGTCTCTTTTTCACAGCGAAGGGTGGAGAGCAGACTCGAACCCTAGTCTCTCAGTCAGCCCCTGAGCATGGCCCTAAGCAATATTGCCTCCGGGTGTGCTCCTGAGCAGGGGCCCTTTGTTTCTATGGTCCTGGTTCTGTTATCTGGGTGCTTCTCTTCACTCTCAGAGGGTCTGGTTTGGGCAATGCATGCTAGCATGAGGGTTCTAGGCTATCCCAGGAAGACACAGGTGGGCAGTTTGCGAAGCCTAGCCCACAGCCGCTGTGCGCACAGCCACCGTGCCCAGGGATTCTGACTCCTGGTGCTCCTCTCCATGGGCCCCTCATGTTGGGCACTTCACAAAGAGGCTAAGATTTTCAGATTCACTATGGAGCAGATCGTGACCTTGAGCTCCCAATCCTGGGGTTCTAGGCATGTGCTACCACAACCGCGTCACAGCTGTACTTGTCTGAACTGAAAAGCTTCTCTAGTTGAAGAGTCTTGCTTCCTCACTGGCTATACGCAATTTGAGGCAAGAACTGTAATTCGGTTCTGAGTGCCCAGTTCCCAGCTAAGCAGCACTGAGCGCCACCCTATCTTCCCCTCCAGGACAGCCCAGCTATTTTCTGTAGTTCAAATTCTAAAACTTCAAGGAGACATCACCAAATCCAAGTTCAGGACTCCAGTTCTGGGCACGGAGTCATATGGGGAGGTACATTGACGGTGTCTTTTCTATGCATTTCCCTAGACATCCGGCATAAAACAGCCTGTTGGAAAATGTTGTCCATCTCACTTCAAGGTTGCAGCCTAGCGGCCGGACAGACGCCTGTGGCTGTGACCAGCTCAGCCCTTCTTGGAAAGACCCCCTGGTGACAAAGTCATAAGGGGAATGAAAATAATTGAGGAATGGGAAGTCCATTCTGAAGGGACAGGCCGGAGCTAGGAATCCCCACCAGGAGCAGGGTCAGACAATGGTGGGAATGAGGACCGAAGGACAGGATGTAAATGGTGTAAGCCTTGACAATGCGAAAACTCAAACTCATAAAATTTAGGAGGGGAAGGAGCTAGGAAGTGGTGGTGAGCTCATTTCCTTTCCCGAAGCCTGGGGTTGCAGAGAGATGCCCTCTGCAGTCCCAAGCCGCCAAAGCACAAATCAAACCTCCTTAGTATTTCCCTTTGGAAAATACCACAGAGACACAAGAAGCAGCGAGACTCTGTGGCTTGGTAACTTCCTCAGGTTTAGATTTCCTTTTGTTCTGCTAAACTGATTTTTTCCCCTAAAAGGTACACTATTTCAGGAGCCCATCTCCATCCCTGCCTGTTATTTTCTCTAGTTATCCAGGGTGCAGACATCTCCACTGGCGCTGTCTGGGGGTCAGCCCTGCTTATTTCTGAGAGTTCTAGGTTCCAAACCACTTGAAAGCCTTGCCTTTGGTATCACTCTGTGTTACTTTGCATTTGTGATAATGAATGTGCACCTACTTTTATAAAATCAAAGCTTTTTCTTCCCTGAAGTGGCGGGGATCAAATTCAGGGCCTCGATTCCTCTCCAAGCCAGTGTAGCTTTTTAAAAGATTTTTCAATTTTTACATTAAAATTTTTTGTTTTTGTGGTTTTTTAAGACAGGGTTTCTCTGTGTAACAGCCTTGTTTATCCTGGAAACACTCTGTAGACCAGGCTGGCCTCAAACTCACAGAAATCCGCCTGTCTCTGCCTCCTGAGTGCTGGGATTAAAGGTGTGTGCCACCATGCCTGGTCCTACAAATTTATTTTTTTATTTTATGGCTATGGGTGTTTTTCTTGCATGCATGTCTGTGCAACACACGCATCCAGTGTCTACAGAGGCCAGAAAAGGGCAGGGAGTCCCTGGAACTGGAGTTGTGGATAGTTGTGAGCTGCCATGTGGGTGCTGGGTCCTCTAGAAGAGCAGCCAGTACTGTTAACCACCAAGTCCTCTCTCTAGCGGCCCCCCCCACCCCCGTGTGTGTGTGTGTGTGTGTGTGTGTGTGTGTGTGTGTGTGTGTGTGTGTGTGTGTGTGTGTGTGTGTGTGTTTCTGAGACAGGGTATCATGTAGTCCAGGCTGGCTTCAATCTTGTTATCTAGCTGGGGATGGGTTTTGAATACCTGCTCTGCCTCCCAGTGTGGGGCTTACATGTGCACACCAGCTTGCCCAGTCAGGATGGATCTTCAAGCCTTGGGAATCCAGTGCCACGACACGTACAGAGACAAGAAGAGATCCTTGGAGTCAGCCTCCCTAGGGCCCGGGTCCCCAGCAGCAGCTGGGGAGCCTGAGCCTCTCTGTAAAGTGGAAAAGTCCCCTTGCCCTGCATTGGCTTTAGGTTGCTGGAAGGGACGTGTGACGTGCAGTGTCTGATGGCTTTCTGTCATCGTGAGGTTCGTTCCTTCCTGAAGCCACTCTTCGGGGGACCAAGGGGATCTAAGGGGTCGCTGGTTGTTTCCGGGTCCTGAGAAGCACTCGGAGACTCAGCTCCATCTAGTGTCCACATGGGGACACAGCCACCGCTAAGGTGGAGACCTTACTTTCCATAGCTGCATGGAAACCCACAGTGAAGTCCATTCAGAGCGATCCTCCAGGGCTAATACTTGGGATTTCAAATCAAGTGCTGTGCAAACCCAGTATTCTTAAGCATCAGTACGTTCTGTCCTGAAAGGGACAGGTTCATGTAACAAACAGTTATAAGAAATGACAGTGACTGCCGGATGTGGTGGTGTATGACTTTAATTCCAGCGCTGGGGACAGAGGCAAAGGCAGATCTCTGTGAATTCTAGGCCAGCCAGGGCTGCACAGTAAGACCCCATCTCGACAAAAAGTTGACCTTGACTAAGATTACTAGTGCTAGGAACAATCCTAAGTTTTTGAATTGTGCGTGCTCATTTCACACACCCCAGTGTCATGAAATGGTGGTGTTTGCTTCATTTTAGAGGTACAGAGAGATGAAATAAAATCTGTCACTCTGAGGGGAAGTGGCCCGTTAGGATGCCCATGTCCCAATGGCTGTCCTGTGCAGGCAAGGACAACACCTACTGGACCCCTTGGGCTATGAAAAGAGGACATGATGGTGGAAACGGGAGGTGAGGGTGGGGGTCTGGGAGGAGCTGAAAAGGGAGTGGGGTGTTATATAATCAATATTCATTGTACACACGTATGAAATTCTCAAAGAATGAGCAGAAACTAAGGCAAAAAACTTACCACTCTGCTGAGTGTAGGCCGGGTGAGGCAGAGATGAGGAGGGAGCCAGAAAAGGGGGTTCTTAGTGCTCCACTGGGGCTCAGGCTGGACTTGTGCTGCAGCCTGAGCATGGGAGTAGTGGTTGTGACCAGAGAGGGAGGGCTCAGCAGCTGGGAGGTACTGACTGAGCTCTGGCTGTATGCCAGGCACTGGGATGTGGAGTAAGGCCAACAGCTGGATGACCACTGTTCTCGAGGACTCAGAACTCTCGAGGAGAAGGTGGGTACAGAAGGCAGGTAAGGAGGAATGCTTTCTCACACACGGATTTGTAACGGTCAAGCAGCAGGAAGATGGGGTAGCACGTGGATGAGCCCGAGCTGACGGGCAAGTGGGGACAGAGGGTGAGGAGCATCAGCTTGGAGGAGGTGGATCAGGTAGCCTGGGGCAGTGGCGACGGTCCATGTAGGAGACTGTGAACCTGAGTGTAGAACAAGGAAAGGTTTGCTGGAGCCAGACAGGGTTTGAAGGGAGGGCTTTGGTGTCGGGGAAGGGTCAGCAGGATGGGAACTAACAGGGGCAGGACCGGACAAGCCCGAAGTGCAGAGCGCACTGGCACGGGAGTTCACAGACGGCGTGGGAGGCAATCGCTGGGCTGAGCTGCCTTCTGGGAAAGGAAAGAGACAGCCTGTGGCCTGAGAAGCGGGGCTTGAAGAAAGGTTGGTTGCTTTCTGTCGTAGGAGGGAGACCGAGACAGACACACAGGCTGGGCGGGGGGGGGGGGGGGGGGGGGGGGGGTGCAGTTCTTAGAGGAACAGCAGAGCAAGGACACATGAAAAATGAAACTCGGGTTCGGCAGAGGCGTCGGGAGAAGGGGGACAAGGCAGTGAGAGATCTGGGCAAGCTCAGGGGAGAGGGATGAGATGGGGAGCAGCGACAGAGCTGGTGCTGACTGCTTGGGGTGGCCGGACGAGGGGAAGTGAGGCTCCACCAGGCCTACTGAGGGCCCGAGGAGGGCAGAAGACTCGGAGAGCCGGAAGGGTGGGCTTGCTGAGTTTCTGAAGGTCAAAGGCCAAGTGTGGGGAGCCAGAGCGAAGGAGCTCCCTGAGGGCATCCTGGAGGCTACTAAACCTGGGGACCAAGTCGGGAAGGAGGGAAAAGGAGCCCGAAGAGGCCAAGCATGCTGAGAGAAGGGCAGAATTCATGGTGGGTCCAAGAACAAGGTATGTGTGGACCAGAGCTGAGATGGAGGGCTCTGAAGGTACTGGCCAGAGTAAGATTTCTGAGGAAGATCTCAGGAGTCACCCCTAAGACAAGTGCTCAGTGTAGCTGAGGGAGTGTGCCTCTGAAGGAAGAGGGGTCAAGGCTGGTCCTGGACAGAGCAGCCGGGGTAAGAGCGGGTGGGGCCTTCAGTGGAGGCAGGAGGAGGCAGAAGACAGAACCATCCAGGGGACCCTGTCCTTGTCACCCAGTTTCAAAGGGACTGTGTATCTTGCATATGTAATGAGAGAGCTCAGTAGGTGAACCGGGGAAGGACTCAGTCAGACAAACTCAGAATTCAGGGACTGCCAGCCAAGCTTCCCACCAAGCCGTTGCACCCAAGGTCGGAGAGAAACGCGGACAGCAGATACAACCATACTGTGCTGCTTTTAATTACGAAAGATGTAAAATGATGCATTATAAAACTTGGAAGCTACTTTATACAAAGTCCAATCTTTCAATATTGCTTAACAAAGGGCCGGGAGCTGGGACGCTGGCAGGAAGTCTGATTAGCTGCTGGGTGGCAATGCTGGGAACCATCTGTGCATAAATCAGAAGAGCCCTGGAGAGAGCGAACAGGAAACGTCTTCAGATACGTGCACAGATACGTGCATGAGCATGAATACACCACTTTTCAGCTCAGAGGATACAGTAGACTTAGGAGAAGGGAGCAGGGCAAAGGAGAACCGATCTTTGACAGGATCAAAACCTTTCTCCTCACACTCACATCCTAGAACCCACGACCACTACACAGCAGGAAAAACCGAGTACAGCTGGTGTGACGAAGTTAGACATTGAAAAGGGGGTTTGGGGAAGCCTGTAGCCACTGCAACGCTGAGGCCTAAGACAGGCTTGTCCCAAAGGCAGCAGCATCGAGTGCAGGCTTACATGGCTGGGGTATGCGACACTGTCTCCTGGCATCCCCGATACCGCCTAGACAAGGTGGGCTGTCCAGTGGCTTAAAGCGTCTCCCATGGAAAGATCAGGCTGGTGGGCCTAACAGCAGATTTCTTTCAGTGCTACACTGCATTGTCTTTTTATCTACTTCCCCATCGGCTGGAAAATACCCCAGGGGCAGGGCAACTCAGGGTATGGGTCTTGGGGTCTCCTATTACAGCGCAGTCTTCCCCCGATGCAATGGTCTCACGGATAAGGCACGATACAGGGAACAGACTGAGCTGGGACCCCCCTTTCTCTAAACTCTGCCATCATCCCTGCCTGAAGGCTGAGATCTGATTTCAGGGGCCCCTGACGGAGGAGCTGGCTTCGGTGGCACGGTGGGGTGCCGGCCAGCATGAAGAGTGCATGAGGAGTGCAGTGACTAGAGTCCCTCTGTCTGGGATCTCAGGCACAAAGCATATGAGAGTTCCACTGGAAACAGGGCTCACAAGCAGAGGCCAGTGGCATCTTCCGGGGGTGGAATCGGGTAGACAGGATCTAATTTGGTTTCCCAATTCAACAGCAGAGACTGAGGTAAAAGGGAACACGAAATTCTTGGGTACTAGAGGAAGGAGGGGTATGGCACCATCAGGGCTGTTTGAAGGGTCACAGGGAAGGCCTGGGAAGAGTCGATGCAGTCATGGTGAGGAGAGGTGCAGAGCAGCTGCCTGTCTGAGGGCTCCTCTTGCCACAGGCAGAGATGTGGCAGCTTCTTTCTCCTTCATCCTTGCCTGCCCGGGTGGAAACAGCCATCCAGTCATCGAGCCTCAGGAAGGGTAGCAGCTGTCAAGCAAAGACTCCCCTTTGGGGTGTCTTCCCCTCCCCCATCTCCTCATGCCTGGCTCCTCCCCTGCATGCTATGTGGCAGCACCATTTGACCCCCTCAGGGCTGGAGGCAGTGGTGGTAGAAGCTGGTCCAATTACTGTGTGACATGGTGTTAATGAATAGCCAGAGCCCCAGGAGTCAGGCCTCATTCACTAGAAACTTGTTTCCTAACCTCAAAGTATGTACCTCCATTTTAGTCAATTTAGAACAAAACATGGATCTGAGTAGGAAGATTTTGCTGTGGGGGCCTAGTGAAGATCCCAGGTCTCCTGCACTTAGGGGCTTTGGTGTGCTCAGCCATTCTGGATGATTCCCACCTAGCTGTGAGGGACACAATCCCAAGGAGGATGGGTACAGAGCCTAGTGACCGATGTGGTCATCTCGCGTGTTAAGGCATACTCAAGTGAGTATGAATCAAGGCACCAGGATGAGAAGGGGAGCGCCGAGCTTAAGCAAGGACCAGAGATGGCTGCAGCTCGGACTGCCCACCACACGGCATTCTCATTCACTCATCCACGGCTGGGCGCCACACCCAGTCACACAGCACTCACTTCTACCAGGCACTGGTAGGCACTAGGGGTTCAAGAAGGAACAAGGCACAGTTTCTGCCCTCTCGGAGCTTACAGTCTCATGGGATCGATTCAACAGAGGACGCTGGGGAAGGAAAGGGCAGTTCAGCTGCTCTGCACTGACAGGAGTCCCAGCAGCTCCAGCCGGTGGGGCTGCAGGGTGGCCGGCCTAGGCTGGAGGACATCTTTTGCAGGACACACCCACAGCCTCCCAGAAGGAGCACTGCCTCTTGAGACTCTATTTCCAGGGAACTTTCCTTCAGCCAGCAAGTGCGTCTCCCTCTCCTCCTGTCTGGAGGAGAAGGTCCAAGCTCAGGGGAGCAGCAGAAGAGAGGTCACAGGCCGGGAGAAGGCAAAGCGAACTCCGTTTGTCTGGGACGGGCGGTTAGGCTTCTTCGTTTTCATTACGCCAGCGGGCAGAGCAATGGCTAGGCCCAGAATATTCACCAGCTGGAGGGTGCCCGGCCTTGGTGGGCAGATAGAAAGGCATCATGGTGCTCTGGTACCGTTGTGTGACGCTGCACCAACTCCGCAGGCCTGTGGCCTCCCCAGGACTCCTACGCTGGGTCTCATCTCCAGTGCTGACTGGGATCTGATGCTATGGAGGCTACCTGTCACACAGCACTGTCTACGTGGACACACGGACTAGACGGCCAACAGAAAGACTAGAGGGTGACACGGCAGCTTCCCAGTCGTCAGAAGCTCCCAAGTAGCTGGCTTGCAAGCAGTACAACGGGGGCCACAGGCCGCAGAGGCAGGCTGCAGCTGTGTCGAGAAAAGCCATGACATCTGAGCTAGGACGGCGTGGAGAGCCTGGACAGCATGGCTCCCTCCATGCGGATGGCTGATGTCAGGGTGTTTGCTGGCTCCGTTCTAGCCTCCGTTCTGGCCGTTTCAGTCCCCTGCTCACTGTATTTAGCTCAGAGCCGGTCAGCTCGAAACGTCTCCTCCACAGAGGGGTCCAGCAGGCCCATGTTAGAGTCACTTAACATGCTGAGTCCATCCAGGCTCAACGGTTCGATCTGCAGCTCCTCTTCCAATGGAAAGGGAGTGTCCATGTCCAGGCTGACCTCGGGCATGCCCGACAGCCCCCCACTAAGGCCTTTGAACAGGCTGGTGCTTGTGTCTTCTGAAAGGAACAGAGAGGAAATTCAGAGACAGGAGGACTGAGGCTTTTAAGAGTGACAGCCCCCTATCCTGCCATCTTCCCAGACAGGCCAGCGAGCATCATCTACTGACCACTCCCAGGCCCACAGCTCTCACCCCTGGAATCAGCATTTTTCTTTTGGACAGGGTCTCCTTCTGTCTGTAGTCTAGGTTGGCCTCAAATTCAAGGAACCCTCCTGTCTCAGCTTCCCAAGGGCTTGAATTACAGACATGCGCTGCCGTGTCCAACTAAGTCTTTGGTTTTTTGTAGTGCCCCCCCCCCCCCTTCTGAACGGTTTTTAGTCACCCGAGACCAACTATTTCAGAAATGTGTTGACCAGCAGGACTTTCCTCACTGCCTGCCTCCGTCTCTACGGCTGGCCACCCGCATCTTCAAGTCTGATAGAGTCGGGGGGTTGTTTCATTTACAGAATGCGGTATGATCTATACTATCTTTCGGAGGTCAGCACACTGAGAGGAGACCAACAGGAAGCTGAGGGGTGGCCGCACTCACCTGTCAGGATGCTGTGTGGGAAGTTCCCACAGTTGGGATACGGGTTTGGTCTCAAGTGGAAAGAGTCGTGTGGCTCTCGGGGACTCTGCTGCACCAAGGGCACCTGGAAGCATCAAAGCCACAGTGGGCAAGCACTCTGCTTCCGAGGTGTGTGTGAACACATGCAGCGTGCCCCACACTGCCCCACACTCCCCCTGCCTAGGATCCCGGAAGGCTGTGTGTGTGATAACACAGGCAGAGCCCTCCCTGGGTATCAGGAGGTCAGTGAGGACCACAGTGTGGATGGCTTTTCTCTGCCCATACACTCCTGCTACATGACCCCAGGAGACACCAGTGGCCACAGTTTCAGATTCTCTTTGAGTCTCAGATATTCCTGCTCCTCAGCCTCACCGAGACGTGTGGGAGCCCATCAGAGGTCCCTGTGTGCTCAAGGAACAGTGGGCGCTCTGGCTTCTGGGTAAGTAAGAGAGTGAAAACCTTCCCTTCACACCTGGCCAGCACCTCTCTAGACAAAGCCTCTGAGGCCTACTGAGAAATAGGGTCTGATTTAGGAATCTTTGCTGAAATTCATTTTCTAGACTATTTAAAAAAAAAAATCTCAAAAGTAAGAGCTCCAACACTTTTGAGGGAAGTGCTGGTCCTCACCTAGCCTGATAGGGCTCTTCATAAAAGTGAGGTAGGCGCAGCTGGGTGCCACAGGGCTTGCCTGGCATGTGTGAGACCCTGGGTCTGAGGGCAAGCACCACAAAATCCAAAACAGTAACAGCAACAGAACGCCAGAGAGGTGAGGACTGCCACAAGGACTCAGTACAGGTACTTGGCTATAGCTAGCTTTATTTACGTTACTATTATTAAGTTCTGGAGGTGGGTCAACCCTCCCTTCTCTTTTTAATCGATCCTGGGGCCTGGCCTATCTTTACTAAATACTACTAAAAACACAAAAGCAAAAGAAAGTGGCTGAATGAAAATACCCTGGGGAAGGAACTTCCACCCCAGTCCTGAGCCAAGTTTTTCTAAAAGGTCATGCACTGAGCTGGGCATTGCACCAGTCCAGACACCGCGCTACGCTGCTTTCTAACTGCTAGTGCAGCCAGGGGTACGCCTCCTTGTCTTCCAGACTCCCCAGCAAAGCAGCTTATCAGTTAGCTGATACGGGCCCTTGTGTGTAGATATGCACATGTGTGTGTGTCAAGGTTCATTAGTCATCTATGGACCCTTGTGTGTAGATATGCACGTGTGTGTGTGTCAATGTTCATTAGTCATCTATGGACCCTTGTGTGTAGATATGCACACGTGTGTGTGTCAATGTTCATTAGTCAGCTGCTATGGACCCTTGTGTGTAGATATGCACACGTGTGTGTCAATGTTCATTAGTCAGCTGCTATGGACCCTTGTGTGTAGATATGCACGTGTGTGTGTCAATGTTCATTAGTCAGCTATGGACCCTTGTGTGTAGATATGCACGTGTGTGTGTCAATGTTCATTAGTCAGCTATGGACCCTTGTGTGTAGATATGCACATGTGTGTGAATGTTCAGTTAGCCATGATCCCTGTAGGTGTATATGTACATGTGTATTGTGTGTACCTTGGGTGCTATTCCACAATGCCATCCACCTTTTGAATTTAAGACAGGGTCTCTCACTGGCCTGGAACTCATCAGCTAAACTTGACTAGCTAGCCAGAAAGCCCTAGAGATGCATCTGTCCTTGCCTTTCCAGTTGACAGGATTACAAGTATGTACAATCACACCAAGAATTTCTTTCTTTTCTCTTTTGTTTTTAAAAGATTTATTTTTATGTGTGTTTGCCTCCATATATTTTGTGCACTACATGCATGCCTGGTGTCTGAGGAGGCCAGAAGAGGGCATTGGATGTCCTGGAACTGGAATTACAGATGGCTGTAAGCTGTTTTGGGTGCTGGGACCCAAACCTGGGTCCTCTACAAGAGCAGCGCCTCCTCTTATCTGTTGAGCCGTCCCTCAGTCTCCCCTCCCCGCTTTTAAAAGGGGATCTCATTATGTAGCCCTGGTTGGTCTGGAACGTCTATGTACACAAAGTTGACCGAAAACTCCCAGAAATCCGCCTCCCTCTACCTCCCAAATGCTGGGGTCAACAGTGTGCACCACTACACCTGCCATCTACTTCCTTTTTAAATGTAGGTTTCAGGGGTGAAACTCAAGTCCTGTGCTTTATTGATTAAACTCTCTCTCTAACCCTGTGACGAGAGTGCTTTCAAAATCCACCACTGTTCAAACAGTCCCTCTGCTGAGACCTGACCCCACACACGGCATGAGGCAGCCTCACCAGGACTGAGGAAGAGGAAGGACGCAAGGCTCTCCTGGCCACGGGACACAACTGAAACAGAAGGGAGCCTCGTCTCTTAGACCGAAGGCTCTACACAGAACAGCCTTGGTGGTGCATTTTACACCTCGGGAAAGGCGGGCAGGAGTGGTCCTTACCTGTTGAGGAAAGGCAGGGTTGGACCTCAGGGGCTGTTGGTCAAAGCCCACATCTGGGAAGAAGTTGGTCAGAGATGAGCCCTTTGGGAAATAAGGAGGTCACTAGAGTTGGAGTTGGTTCAGGGTGAAGTAAGCGCCCCACCTCACCATGTCCCCAGGGCCTTACCTGGGCAGCGAGGAGCTGGAAGTCCGACTGTGGCAGGGAGGAGGCTGCCTGGGGCTGGTGGGCAGGGGGCTCCTGGGCATGGGGCTGCTGCAGGAGCGGCTGAGGCAGCTCCTGGGGTGTGGGGTAAGGGGGCGGTGGAGACACTTGGGCTTGAGTTTCTGTGGGCAGGAAGGAAAGCGGGCTTTGCTCTGAGGAAACCATCTGTGAAATAAACCAAGTGACGCATTAGCTTCCCAGTAATAAGGTCCTTCTTCGGCTTAGGAGAGTGGAGAAAAGTGGAGCGCCTGAGCTCCCTGACATGCTGAGAGGGCCTGCCTCTGCTCCTCTGAAGCACATCTCAGTTTTATGCCCCTGAAAGCATTTCCTATCAGTGACATTTCTATTGTTTAAACGAACAAGAATACAGGCAATTTCCTCTGTTTTCTCAGTGACTATAATGTCTTGCTTGCTGTTGAAGCCACAGCTGCTGGAGAGATGGAAGACTGAAAAGGTACCTATCTGCGCTACCATCTAAACTAAAGCAAGACACTAACCCAACACTACCAACAGTGGACACCAACACACAGTACCCCAACCGTGAACACCGCCAAAGGGAGGAGAAGGTAACCGGAAAAGAAAATGGCCACCCAATCTGAGAGACAGCAGAACCGAGAAGGCCACGAGTTAAGTTGTCATCAGAGAAAACCCAGAGCAGATCTGAGTCATGTGACCCTCTCCCTTGAGAGCTCCAGGCTTGGGGACAGTAGGGAGCAGGGGCCGACGTGAACCCAGGCGGGTCTGGCCAGAGTTTCTGTGAGGGGTGACTAGCTGCCCTCCCTGATGCTGGCCAGGGCAGGGGAGGCTGGTTCTGCAGAGAGTAAAGTAAGGTCTCCGCATGCCACAGGTGAGCTATCTACCTCCGACTTGCCTCCCAGAAACTGCTCTCCAGACACAAACCCAAGTGTCAAACTGTGTAGTGTTGCTCAAGGACTTTAGACCAGGCTGCGACTTCTCTAGAGAGAAGTACTAGAGCCTCTGACAGAGCTCCCCACAGAAATGAGAGACGGTTCTGTCATGAGGTATGTCCCTCAGCAAGCTCCTACTCCCACAGGTGCCTGTCAGCAATGCAGTGTCTTGTTCTTAAATGGGAGGGGAGAACCAAGGACTGTCAGAGCACCTCATTTCCAGGTGGGCAGAGTACTGGCATGATCATCAGAGCCCAAACTGACACAGACCAGGAACATGGAAAGGAAGAAGTAAGGGAGAAAATAAATTTACTATGGTAACATTTAGGCCATCTAAGAAAGGCTTACCTTGGCCTGGTGTGGTAGTGCACACCTTTAAGCCCAGTACTTGTGAGGCAGAGGGAGGCACATCTCTGAGACCAGCCTGGTCTACAGAGAGAGTTCCAGGACAGCCAGGGCTACACAGAGAAACCCTGTCTCAAAAAACTAAAAATAAATAAATAAACAAATAAATATAAGAAGGAAAAATGAATGAATGAGAAGTAAGAGAAGAAATATGGGCATTAGAGAAAAATTTCATGATGTTCAGCATTTGTTCAACAGGAATTCCAGAGGGAATGGAGAAAAATCAAGAGAAATGTCACTGAGGAAATAATTAAAATTCCCAGAAACGATGGACATAAGTTTCCAGACAAAAGAAACTCAGCGAACCTCCAGCCTCATGCCAAGCCACATTATCTCAAAGTTTCACAATACTGGAGACAGAAGGACTATCCTAGATGCCTCCAGAGGCATGAAGGAGATGCCATTCCAAGTCTGGAGGAGATCAGTCAATACCTCTAAAGTCCCACAGGGAAGTATCTCAACTTAGAGTTCTCTATCTAGCCCAACGATTAACTAAATGGAAGGCATTTTATAGTCATGCAAGGCACCTGTGCTCTTTCCCCCAAGTTTTACAGAAGATCTGTTTTGAAATGTGGTAAGATTATTCCAGTACCAGAGTTTGGGCCTGAATTAGCAACACACAGCTAGAAAGCCGGATCAGCAACAACGAAGGGCAGGACATTGACATCTGGGAGCAAACCAAACGATCACTTTGTTATTTCATCGTGTACTATGGGGGTCAAGTCTGACTACACAGACACCACATATTGTTCTAACTGAAATGATAATAAAGGAGCAGACTGAGTAAGGTGTGTGAAAGGGGCTGTGGGAGTGTTGAAAGAAAGCTAGATCCCAATCTTGGATGGCAGGATGTCTTTAGATAATGCTTAACAGCAAAAACCGAGAAGAAAGTAAGCATGAAATAACATGTTTATAGCGAAGAGATTAACTAACAGGGCTGGAAACAGCCAACTCCGGGCAGTGAAACCTGTGGTTAATGGTTAGGGAAGACAAGCCCTTCAGAACTATTTGTCTTTTGAAACTACATGCATGAGGAAGATTTTTTTTAAGCCTAAAAATTAAATAATAAATAAAATTATTAGAGAGTCCATGTTCTCTACCCTTAAAATGTAGCTAGAAAGCAAGATCACTTTTATAGCTCATAAAATAATCTCACAAAGAAAAACTAAAAGGAATCCAATACCATTTTTGAGGGAAGAGAGTCCGAAGCAGGGTTTCTCTGTATAGCTCTGGCTGTCCTGGATCTTACTCTGTAGACCAGGCTGGCCTCGAACTCACAGAGATCCACCTGCCTCTGCTTCCCGAGTACTGGGATTAAAGGTGTACACCAACACCACCCAGCAATCCACAGCATTTAAAAAAATTAAACATTTTTAAAAATTCCCAAATGCTGTCTCATCTTCCCCGGAAGAAACGGCTCCCACTCCCAGCATCCCATGCCCAGTAACTGGCAGAGTGACTAATACCAGATCATGTAACTTCTTCCCTTGTGTTCTACCAACTCCTCTTTGCAAACCGTTACTCATTTACATGAAGCAGTGAGTAGTTAATGATGCTGTAATGTATCTAGGGTGTGGTAAATGGGCCAAAATATATTTACCAGTGATTATGAGAAGGAGGAACGCCCTAAGAGTTGAGAATAAAAACAGTCAGAAAACCCAGTGTGACACCTCTCTACTCCTGTAGTGGCGGTGACCCCCAAACAGGCCTCCTTCTAAGCAGACTCCTTTTAGAGCGCTGTCACCCTCCTCATAGCTAGTAGTTCACAAAATGAACAAGAGGAATGCTTCTCAGGCGGGTCACAGGAAGAGCAAGAGGGTTAATGCACCACGCAAGTGCCAGGACACCCAGTGTTCAGGGCTTTTCTCTGGGGCTTGCGGGAGTTACTAGGTCAATGATTGAGTTTCTGTGCACAGTTTGTGATTTTAACCTGGTTTCCCTGAATTGCCTTTCATCTTTCACACCCCACCTCTTCCCCCAGCCCCAACGTCACGAGTTAATGACTACAGATTCTTTAGTATTTGCTTAAGGGCAATAAATATCACAAGATGGCTATTAGAAAATCGTTAATGCATCCTGACTCACGCACACCTCTGCTACTTAGTTTAGGAATAAGACAGAAGTGAGTATATTGCAGTCTCAGGGATGCGCAGTGTAATAACAACGGACCAGGCCCAAATGGCCCAGAGAAGGAAAAGCCATCATCTCCTGCTCAGCCTGTTGAATGGAGGCAGTTCTAAAGTCGTCTTCACCTGGGAGGCAGGATACGGGTTCAGTGGGCTGCTTGAAGAGAGCTGTCTGCTGAAACCTTGATGTACTTCAGGGCCAGGAGAGAGCGTGAGCGGGCTCACTGGAGGCTGCCTGCGCCGAGAGGGGCCGCTCAGGCTTGTGGTGGAAAGAGACGGGTTGCTAAGGGAGAAGGGTCTGAGTGACGGGTGAAGAGCAGATGCACCGGCCACAGATGTCTGTGGGTGGCTATTGAGGGATGAGGACAGCGAAATCTTATTGAGTGTGGCTTGGATGGAAGGGTTACTTCGAGAACTCTGGAGACCTGCAAGATAACAAATCACAAGTTTCTTGTTAGGTCTTCAGATCCAAGCTTTTGTTTCCCCAAGAGTAAGGCCGACTTCCCACTAGCTAGGTGACGACTGTATGTGTGAAGAAGTCTCTGGGCAGCTCTCCTACTGGAAATGACTGGGGTGTGCCAATGAAAAGGAAAGGAAACAGCATACATTTATTGCTTCCAAAGAGGAAAATGCTGAGAAAACAGCCCCGGGGAAGCTGGAGCAGGTGAGTAGCAGTGAGCTCTGCTCCACCTCGGGAAAGGAGCCTGAGGCTACACTACCCTCGATTTACAGCCCCTAAGGCACGTGCTCCGTCACATGGCCTGGATCCTCCATGACCATCGGGTAAACATGTCCCCACACCCCACCTAGACCTCTTGGCCTTACAGTCCCTCACTCTTGATTTTGGCCTCTTCATAAGCTGTCTGCTAACAGTGTTTCCAAACTCAGGGAAAAGATGTTTCTACAGTCCTGTTCCTTTGAGGTGCAGCGAACAGAGGAGTTCCAGGAAGCTGGGAGCCCGTTCTGTGCCCCACTGGACCGTGGCACTCAAGCCCAGACGGAATGACTCCATTCCGTGAACAAGAAAGCTGCTCCTGCTGCATGTATTTCAACAATGCCACAGCCATGGTTAGTTCAGTCCACCGCTCTTGTGCTAAAAGCTGGGAAGCAGAAATGCATTTTTATGTTGATCAAAATTTGTTTGTGGGGGTCAGGATAGCTCAGTGGCAAAGCACTCGCCTGGAATTCTTGAGGCCCTAGGCAAAATCTCTAGTACCATGAGCAAAACCAAGCCAAACCAAAGCAGAAACAAGAACAGCCGCCTGCAATCCCAGCCCTTGAGGGGCAGAGGCAGGAGAACCAGGAGTTCAGATCTGCTGGCTGGAGGCCAGCCAGGGACACATGAGAATGTCTCAAAAAAAACCCCATCCCAACCAAACCCAAACCAGGGCCAGCCAAATGCTCACTCGGTAAAGGCCCTTGGTTCCTTGACTTCTACGTGTGTACTGTGCTTGCACGTGCACACACGCACACCAAGTAAAACTATAACAAAAAGAAAAAAACTGATAAAAATTATGGAAATGAAGAAATTACAAAATCAACTATTTTAGCTGGAAAAATTATGTTGATTTAATTAATTATTATTATTTTTAACGGAGACAGGACATCTATCAGGTAGACCAGGCCTGAGTAGAACCTGATTTGTAGCAGAGCATGACCTTGAACTCCTGAAATTCCTGCTTCGACGTCACAACTGCTTGGAATGCAGGTGTGGAACACCATACCTAATACAAAATTACTAATTTTAGGAATGCTTATCTACTTAGTATGTAAGGTGTGTGTGGTGGCACACGAGCCATGGCGCACGTGGCGGTCAGAGGACAATTCTGTGGAGTCGGCTCTCTCCATCCACCTTTATGTGGGTTCTGAGGATTAAACTCAGGTGGCCAGGCTTGGCAACAAGGGCTTTTATCTACTGAGCCATTTCACAGCCTGAAAAAATCCTTTCAGAGTTAGAAATGATGGTTACGGTAGACTCCTGATAGTTATCCCACCACTCAATCAATGAGAACAGGAGACCCAGGAGCTTGAATAGCAAGCAGAGCTGAAAGTCTGAACGCTGATTATAAAAGAAGCCTCCTTCAGAAAGAAAGCTTAACTATTTTTCAAAAACAAGTGTACCGGGCCTTTTTTTTTTTTTTGGTTTTTCGAGACAGGGTTTCTCTGTGTAGCTTTGCGCCTGTCCTGGAACTCACTTGGTAGCCCAGGCTGGCCTCGAACTCACAGAGATCTGCCTGGCTCTGCCTCCCAAGTGCTGGAATTAAAGGCGTGCGCCACCACCGCCCGGCCAGTACCGGGCCTTTTAAGACAAGTAGCTCAGGCCGGCCTGGAACTCATGATGCATCTGCCTTAGCTTTTTACATTTTCAGGATCTATACTTAAATATTTTCATGTGTAGGAATGCTTGTCTACACATATATATGAGCACCATGGGCATGCCTGGTGTTGGTGGAGCCCGAAAGAGCATTGGATTCCCTGGAACTGGAGTTACAGGGGATTATGAGCCATCGTGTGGATGCTGGGAACTGAACCTGGGTTCTCTGCACAGAGTAGCAAGTGCTCTTAACCAACGGGCCATTTCTGTAGCCTCTGTACTACACACTTTAAGGTGTGCATGACACTACAGAGCTAGACACTTATCTATGGTCTTGTGAATCAAATGATGCGTTCTGAAGAAGGTGACAGTCAATGACTGAACACGAGGTTTTGGCTAGAAGCAATGGGTAAAGCCTACAGGTGGCAGCTTCCTCAAGACCCCAGGGAGCTATGGGGGATGTTGTTTTGATTCAGTGACCCTGGGCATCATTGCTCACTGAGAATTCATCTAAAAGGGGACTTGCCCAGGCTGAGTCTAGAACTCTCAAAGGGTTTAAGAGTTCCTGTTGTGAGGCCGGGCGGTGGTGGCGCACGCCTTTAATCCCAGCACTCGGGAGGCAGAGCCAGGCGGATCTCTGTGAGTTCGAGGCCAGCCTGGACTACCGAGTGAGTTCCAGGAAAGGCGCAAAGCTACACAGAGAAACCCTGTCTCGAAAAACCAAAAAAAAAAAAAAAAAAAAAAAAAAAAAAAAAAAAAAAAAAGAGTTCCTGTTGTGAAATAAATCAAAGAAACGCAGAGCTAAGAGACTGGTGTCTTCTTAAAGATTATCCCAGGTCCTCCAGAACATCTGGAAACACCCTGCATTCAAGACATTGTCACGGCGAGTTTGCCCATGTGTAACTTGATTTCTAAAAACTCAAAACTCAGTCTTAGGAAATAAAAGATGGTTTATTAGTAGATGCCGCCCCCTCCAAAAACGAAACGAAAACATCTCCTAAAACAAAAATAAAGGTGGTCTTTGCGACCAGTTGTGCAAAACGGAATCCACGCTGCTCAGCAGAAGTGCCATGGCACCACTGGAGACCTGGCAGGGAACCCTGTGGGACCACTCCCAGGTGGACAGGCTCTGCTCTGCCCGCCGAGTCTCACTGAACTCGGAAACCAGAAACCACTTCCTCCACCTACAGACTATCACCGAGGAACCCTTCCAGATGGAACATTCCACAGCAGCGCCTGAACTGGGGCTGCACTACACCACTAGAGGAGGGAGTGCTGCCTGCTCTGAGTGACAGGAGCAGTGTTGGTTCAACACGGAGTCAACACAGGGTCTGCGCTGGGGACAATCAAGCCTGCATGGTGACCCCACATTACAAGTGACATGACTCCAGCCAGCACCGCGTCCGTAAGCACTTGAATATTGCTGAACTGTAGTAGATTTCTACTTTAAGTATAAGTGTTTTCATTATGCCCACTGTACATTTTGTAAAATTGAAAATATTGTCCTTCTGAAATCCAGTGGGAACTGGGGAGAGCTAAGGAAACGGATTAAATGCTAAAAGACCACCATATGCTGATAAGAACTGCCAGCGTTGTTCAGTTGGCATGGCACAGCACCTATGTCTCTACTCCCAAACACTCTTCCCCAAGCTCTCTGCACACATGGGCTTGTGCAGACAACGAAGAACGAGGAACAGCTGAACTGTTCCAATGCTTGTCAGACAAGCAGAACTGGGACCCCAGAGCAGACACTAACCAGTATGAAGGACACTATCATATGTCACTGAGATGTGGTCACTCTCACTGAAAGATGCACCAAAGAGACACACCAGGGGACACGGCTAAGGCCCTTTCTTTTTACAGGGGAGTACTTACCAGAGGAGTTTCTTATGCCCAGGTGAGTCATAGCAGCTGGAAGATTGCCCACACTGTTCCCCACACTCATGCTACCAAAGTGGTGGTCGCTGGTGTCCAGGGAGGCTGGGAGGGGTGCTGAGTAGTGGAGGTTGGTTAGATCTGGTAATGAGCCTCCAGTGTTCAGGGTCCCCAGGAACGGTGAAAGGCCGATGCTTTGGCCATTATGTGGGAAAGCACTATAAGGAGAGAAGGAGGGTTACCTTCTACAATGTGTCTGCTGTTGGAGAATGGGACACACAGGAGATCTTTCCCCACCAGTGAATGCAGTCTCTGGAGACCCTGCCTCTCCCGAGAGTGCAGTCATCAGCTGACCCTCGCTCGTGAAATGGGACAGACGACCTCACCTATGCTTCCCTTACGGGGTGTTCCCAGATCAGATTAGATTATGAATGCTGAAAGTTCTCTCCCTGCATAAAATGTGAGATGCTACGGCATGTTTAGAGTTCTTTTTGCTAGCTTTCTAAATTATTTTTGCTACCAAAATCACACAAAAAAGCAACAATATACCTCCCAGGATATACTGTTTTGATTACATTCCCATAAACTTTAAAAACATAACAATTTTCATTTTTTAAAGATTTGCTTTCTTTTTATTTATGCTTATGTGTGTGCATGTGTGCACTCACGTGTGTGCACTCGAGTGCACGCACACACAAGTGCATTGACAGAGGTGCAAGTGCCCTGGCAGGCCAGAAGAGAGTTGTGCTGGATAATATTTTGTTTGTTTTTTGTTTTTCAAGACAGAGTTTCTCTGTGTAGTTTTGGAGCCTGTCCTGGATCTCGTTCTGTAGACCAGGCTGACCTTGAACTCACAGAGATCTGCCTGCCTCTGCCTCCCTAGTGCTGGGATTAAAGGCGTGCGCCACCACTGCCAATTTCTTAACTGGTGCTTAATGGGGGAGGATCCAGCCCATTATGTATGGGGCCATCCCTGGGCTGGTGGTCCCGGGTTCCATGCAGACTGAGCAAACCAGGAAGCAGCACCCTCCATGGCCTCTGCATCAGCCCCTGCCTCCAGGTTCCTTCCCCGCTTGAGTTCCTGCCCTCACTGTTTTTGATGGTGAACTGTTTGTTATATGGAACTGTAAATGAAATAAACCCTTTCCTCCCCAAATTGCTTTTGGTCAAGGTGTTTCATCACAGCAATAGTGACCCTAACTAAGAAAGGGTGTTGGACCCCTAGAGCTGAAGTCACAAGTGGTTGTAGGTACCCAACCAGTCTTCTGTAGGAGCAGGCAGCAAGTGCCCTTTATCACTGAGCCATCTCTCCAGCCAAGTTTCCATAATCTTGAAAATAAGGAAACATATTGCCATTCATTTATTAAAACCACTGACTGGTCATTGTGTACCAGGCCCAAGGCAGGCCCAGGAGGTGCGATGAGCAAGTAAGGTGCATGCTCATGGTCGGGTCTGCCTTTGACATTTGCGCAGCGGGGGCAGGGATGCAAGCTGCAAACGGAAGCTAGCATTGCATCTGATTTCATCTGTGTGTGTGTGGAGGGGGTGGGGAGTGCATACATGCAGAGACCAGCGTAGGATGTCAGGCGTTCTGCTCGATGACTGATGACTCTACTTTATTCCTTTGAGACAGGGTCTCTCTCTGGACCTGGAACTAGGCCGGAAGCCAGCAAGCCCGAGTAATCCTCCTGTCTTCACTCCCAAAAGCAGCGGGGTTATAGGCATGTGTGCAGCCACACCCAGCTTTTCACGAGGAGACTGGGAATTTAAATTCAGCTTTCACAGCAAAAGCTCTTCTTACCCACTGAGCCTTCTCCCCAGCCCCTGCTTTAAACTTCCAAAGTTATAAACCAAAGAACAAACTTTTGTGTCTTGACGAAGCATACGTTTATAATAGCTTAGATCCAAAGGCAGACTTCCTAGAATTCTTGGGGCCCTGCACTAGCACACACTGGGACAGGCAGCCCAATCCTCAGTCCATATTTCCTTTTCCTACTCAGCCCTGGTTTGCACTGGAAGGCAGGTATGTAGACATTCCACATACATGTGTACTGTGGGTCCCTGCAGACCCTTGGACTCTGTGCAGTTTGGGAGTGGGCCCTCTAAGGGACAAGGCTTCTTAGTCCTCGTATGAGGGAATCATATTCTTGGAGTCCATAGATGGAGCAGCACGATGATCAAGCAGGCAACTGTAATACGGTAGGAAGCATGCTGTGCTAGGAGTCATTAGGGTGGTACAACCAGGAGGTACAAGCAAAACCAGGCACAAAGGCTGGAGATGCCAAAGACAGGGAGAGTTATAGCGAGGAAGGCTTTGCTAGGGATGTCCCAGTGCTCGGGGAACCTCAGGATGCTTGGTGTGGCTGGGGTCAGTGCAAGTAGTACGGGTGTTGAGAGGTGAAGCGGGAGAGGCAGAAGGGGGAGAAGGGGAGGAAATGGGAAGATGCTGTTGGGGTGAGTCAGTCTTGGACTGTAGGAGACAGGGAGCCAAGCGCAAGCTAGAGATGCTGCTGTCGTCACAGTGGGAAAGACTCAAGGGAAAAGAGGGTGGCAGAAGACATGGGTCAGGAGGCTCTTGCAGTGACCCAGCCTGGTCCAGGACAGAGCAGTGTGGCCGAAGAGACAGGAGCAGCTGAAGCAAACGGCATGGGCCAGAGCGGGGAGGAGTGATTCAGTCAACACAGCATATAGTGTGGAGCAGTTACCGGGTGCAACCACGGGCCTCAGGGCCTGCAGGAGACCCCGACAGAGCATGGTCCTAAAGAGTGCAACTTAGGGAGCCGGGCAGTGGTGGCACACGCCTTTAATCCCAGCACTTGGGAGGCAGAGGCAGGCGGATCTCTGTGAGTTCGAGGCCAGCCTGGTCTCCAAAGCGAGTTCCAGGAAAGGCGCAAAGCTACACAGAGAAACCCTGTTTCGAAAAACCAAAAAAAAAAAAAAAAAAAAAAAAGAGTGCAACTTAGGAAATCCAGCTTACTCCTGCAATAACAGAGCCTAATGGTATCTAGAATGGAGGGAGTGAGCAGCAGATGGGAGGAGGCTTCTGGAGGCAGGAAGCTAAGTTTGAAAGCTAACGAATTCAGGCGCACTAGGCAGGAAACCCGTTTCAGGCGTAGGTCAAAGCAGGGGCAAAAAGGAGGCCTGAAGCACACTGTATGTCTAGGAGCCGTGAAGACTGATGGCCACTGAGGGTTAAGTGCAGGAGGGCAGGAAGTGATGGAGGTGGGACTGGAGAAGCGGGCAGAGAACACCCCAGGCTGGCAGAGTGCTGAGGGCAAGGACACCAGGGGAAATTTTCTTAGAATGGTTTCGGGGACAGACCTGGGAGGCAAAGAGCAGAGCCTGGAGACAAAGGGGCAAGCGGTAACTTTGCTGAGTTATCAAACCAGAGCGTGCAATGACATGGGAGCATGGGAACGGAGAAGCGGGGATGGATGCTGGAGGTATCTGGCCTGGGATAGCCATTCACCGAGATGGGGGCCACTAGACCTGATGATAGACTAGGGGAAGGGCAGAAAGATGGGTGAGAGCATAAATCCTATCTTAGATACTTAGCTTTGGCTGCACAGGAGGACATGCAATTGGGATGTCCCTCACTGGGGGACGCCCTAGAGGAGGTGACTCATAGTCTGGTGGAATACTGAAATAATGGAAGCAGAAGCTGGGCTTCTTTCAAAAAGTGTGGCTGGCTGGAGATGGGGCTCGGGAACTGTGGAATAATCTTTTTGAACACTGTGAGTATGTATTACTCTCATTGGTTAATAAAGAGCTGATTGGCCGATGGCTAGGCAGGATTTTCAAGGCAGAGAGAACACTGAGAAGAAGGAAGTTGGAGTCTCAGGGGTTGCAAGGAGATGAAGAGAAGGAGGAGATAAACTTGCCATACTGAGATAAGGTACTGAGCCATGTGGAAGAACATAAGATATAAATATGGATTAATTAAAGCTCTAAGAGCTACTTAGTAACAAGCCTAAGCTATCAGCTGAGCATTTATAACTAACAATAAGACTCTGTGTGGTTATCTGGGAGCCAGCTGCGGGACAGGGCTGACTGCAGGGACACAGAAAAAGTCAGCTTACACTCAGGAGTTAAGTGCACTGCTTGCCCAGAAGACCCAAGTTTGCCAGCATCTACATGGTGGCTCAGAAACATCTGTAACTCCAGTTCCAGAGAATATGATGCCCTCTTTTAGCCTACAGCACATGGCATACACATGGTACACAGACATATATGCAGGCAAAACACCTGTACACATAAAATTGTGTGTGTGTGTGTGTGTGTGTGTGTGTGTGTGTGTGTGTGTGTGAGAATTCTAGACATCAGAGGGAACAATCGGTAGTGGAGAGAGGTCTCAGAAAAGCCAGTGCAGCAGAGGGCCAGGAACTGGAAGTGATTCACCTTGATCAGGAAGGTGCCCTGACAGAGAAGAGGCTGGGAAGAAGGAAGCTGTGGGAAGTGTCAGCAGCAGAAGGAAGCCGAGTGTGTGCTCCTCAACAGCCTCTTCTCTTTGTAAAAGGAACCGGGCGAGGCTACCTGAAGGAGCTAGGGAGAACCTGGCAGTGGACGGGGTCAGGTGGACGAGTGAGGAAGAAAGGCTGCCGGAAGAAAACAGCACGAAAACCTTATCTTCAGATGGCCGGATATGTGGAACTGGCTACAGAGTCAAGATCAGGACTAGAACATAAAACTGAGACAGTGGAGTAGCTCACTCAAGAGCAGGTGGGCCTCCTGTGTCAACAGGCAGGAATAAAGGCTTTGACAGGCACAACAGTGGCCAGGTGGGTTGAGGACACCAGCAAAGAGGGAGACAGATGTGACCAATGTGAGCCTGGCCATTAGTGACATCAAAACAACTCCGTAGTTCAGAGAAATACAAACGGCTACTTCCTGAATGTTGCTACGATCACTCCAGTCCCCACTAGATCTGATGGAAGGCGAGCAATGTTCCTCCTGGTTCAGATCTCTCCAGTGAATTAAGTCGAGGTATGATCTAACTACAGCCTCCTTACGCTCACCAGGGTCTTCGCAGGTGCTGTTCTCTCTGCCTGGGTCCCTCATGCCCTTTCTTCAGGCTGGATTCTGTCACCATTTCCCTATCAATGCCCACCTCCCTGCTGGGTTCCTCTGAGTTACCTGCTACCTCCTATGTGTGTCTCTAGAACACTGGCTCTTTACAAGCAGGGACTAACCTGTTCTGTTCACTGTTGGATCTGGTGCCTACAATTAGGAGTCAATAACCATCCGCATGAACAGAACACTGATGGAATGCTATCTTTTTTTTTTTTTTTTTTTTTTTTTTTTTTTTTTTTTTTTTTTTTTTGGAATGCTATCTTTAACATAAAAGCAAGAAGGCAACTTCCTTTACGTAGCAGATACTAGTTCCAGAGCTCTCCAGGGTTAACAGATTGCAGCCCCAGTTCTACGATGTAAGGCATTGGAGCCTGGAGTGTTGATTTGTCTAGGTGTCAGCCAAGACATGCTTTTAGTTAATTCATGACTATGTGTATGTGAGTGGTGTGTGGGTGTGGGTGCGTGTACAGAGGCTGGAGGAGGAGGCTGGCTGGCCCGCATTAAATCATTCTCTGTCTTGTTTCCTTGACACTCTCTCACTGAACCTGGAGCTAGGCTGGTGGTCATCAAGTCCCAGCGATCCTCATGTTCCCGTCCCTTCCACAGGGCTGGATGCACACAACCATGCTCAGTTTCTTACATGGGTACCAGGGATTTGAACTCAGATCCTTATGCTTGCATAGAGAGCTCTCTTACCCTCAGAGTCCTCTCCTTAGTCCTCCCTCTCCCATTTTTTTAAGACAGGGTATTAATTATCCCAGGCTGGCCTTAAACTTGCAGAGGATGACCGCATACTTCAGCTCTTCCTGCACTCACCTCTGGAATGCTGGGACTGCAGATGTGCACAGTCATACCTAGTTCATACAGTGCTGGGGATGGGACCATGGCTTTGTGCATGCTGGGCAAGCACTCTGCGAACTGAGCTATAATCCTAGCTCCCAATGGTTTGGTTTTTGAAACTCTTGGCCCTGTCTGTAGGAAGGTCCTGCATCTCTGGATGGGCTGGTCTCTTTGTCCTGTCATGTTCCTAGATTTCTGTTGTTCTAAAGAGGTCAATTCTCTTCTCATTTCTGTGGGCTATTAATTACAGGAGTTTATATTTAACTGACTAAAAAAGCATTCCAAGCTGTGGGCACTCAATGCCCGATGCACTGCTGTGAAATCATGGGAGAGTTTGTGAAACACTATTTAGGAGTGGCCAGAAGTTAGTTCAAGTTACCCATAGATCCTCTAAAGTGGGTGTTCGTGTCAAGCTAGATCATGAAAAGGCCTCATTTCCAAATCGCACTGTTTTGGTCCTAGGAAGACTCGCTGTGCCTGAGCTGGCTTTGGTGCCATGCGCTGCGACTATGCTGGGAGACACTGCGACAAACGCCATGCAGCTTTCACACAGCTCTCAGGACACTGTCCAGCCGAGGGGTCCTCCCCAGGAAGTATGCACAGATCATCCAACGGTTTCAAAGGCTGGGGGAACTGTGGCCCCCTTAACAGAAGTCTGTTGGGGTCCCCTACACCAGCCTCCTTTTGGGTGTCAATACCCAGGCTTCACAACCCTTTCTGCCCCCTTAATCTCCCTTACTCTCATCTTCTTACAAACTTGTTACATCTGTTCGCACCACAAGTATTTTATACTGTATGTGCTTTAATAATCTATGCAAAATCTTTTAGGAAGTAAATCTGTATGTTACAAAATCCATTTATTAAGCTGGGTGTGATGGCACACACTTTTAATCTCAGCACTTGGGAGGCAGGTACAGACTGATTTCTGTGAGTTCAAGGCCAGCCTATTCTACATAGTGAGTTCAAGGTCAGCCAGGGTTGCATAATGAGACTCCTACCTCAAAACAAACAAACAACAACAATCCCCCCAAACAAATAATAAACATTAATTAATGAATAGTGCCATAGACTCATTTTAAATTGTAAGTCTTACTATTCACCCTTTTTAAAATTGTAGTGAAATACACATACCATAATTTTACTCCTGTGACCATTTATGCATTGCATACTCAGAAGCATTAAGTACATTCATGGAACTTTTTCTTATCAACTTCTATGTAGCCAATCAAGTTAACTGATGGTTTCCTTTCCTGTCAACTGATGCCCATGGCCTGCCCCGGGGTCCAGTGGACACGTGCACACTTGTATTTCTACCAGGTAGGTTCTGTGTGTGCCCAGAGTCAATCGGGCTATTCTCAAACACATTTATGGCAGTTTTATTGGCTTTGACAGTCATAAAATGGAACTGCCTCAAATACATGAACTATATGTACCAAAAGAGAACAGCTCTTTTTATGCAAATGCAGTTGACTTGGGTTTATAGAGAGCAAGCTATATTTCTCAGTTCTGTGACACAGCACAGAAGACTCTCAAGAACCTCTAGCAGAAGGAACATTACTTACTTGCCGCCCCCAACATCACAGGATCGAGGGCGCCCAGACAGAGACTGGATCTGGGAAGAGACAAAGAAAGCTGGACTTACTCAATGCACAGCCAAATTCAAAGGTTTGAAAAGTGGGGATCTGAGCATCCTAGTTAGAGCCAGTGACAGACAGAACAGGCCAAGGGTATCTTCACAGAGCACCACAGAAGTTGGGGAGTTTAAAAGTTATTAACTTCCCAGTCAAAAGAGAAGTATAACATTAACATATTTTCTTGATTCCTTATTAATTTGTCTTGGAGTGAAATGGTTATTTCCCTCAAAGAGGCAAATGTTTTGCACATTCAGATTTTAAATATTTCTTTTCAACTGGCAAGAGAGAAAAAGAAGAAAATGAAAAAGCAAAACAAGGCAATGAAGGAGGGAATGAATGTCCAGGAAAAGGACAATCTAATTAGAATGTACACTGGTGGGGACAGGGACGGATACTGCACAGCCACAGGACCAAGGGAGACAGCCCATCTCTCTAGAGAGAGCAGCTCCAGGTACTGGGAGGGAGTGCACACCTGCATACCCATTTTCTGTCTTCTACAAACAGGTCTCCAAAACCACCTTTCACAGACAAGAGGGCAGAGAGCTGTTTAAATGTGTGGATTTCAGATCTCAGTTCTTTCAGGTCCCTCAAGAGAAAACATCAACTACATATCTTGCTTTCATAGAACCCTGTCAGGACCACCCTAATGCTAGCAGACTGGGGTAGACTTGATGGAGGAGAATGAGCAGGACCCTGATGGACAGGACAGTGAGGCCCAGAGACCAAACAACCAACTACATCTGAGCATCATTAGGCGCTGGAAGGAGGGACTTTTCTCTCAAAACAGCAGCTCTACAGAAAGAGAGGCCAAGCTTAGCCGGGGCCTCCCTCTCCTCAGCGGGCGAGGTTTACACAGTGAGGTGGAGGCCAGCAGGACTTTAGATACTAAGATTGAAGCTCAGAGAAATCATAGTAAACAGATGACTCATCACCTGCTGCCTCTCAGAGAGCTCGGGTCAAAGGCCTTTGCTTTCAGAAAGGATCATCTGGCAGGACAGCAATGCTCAACAGGAGCTGGAGAGTGGCTCAAAGCAGAGATGTCTACCTTTTCGTGCCAGCTCTCCAAGCTTCTGACAGGGAGAGGTCCAGTAGCTTAACAGTTTTCTTTTGAGAATCAGTGAATTCACACGAAAGCAAGGAAGCCACAGATCACGGTACTAATTCACCACTACGAGCACGATTTTTGTTTGGAACAGCATCCCGGCTATGTCTTTCCAGTCTCGGGGTCCAGCCAAATCCTCTCTTCCCTTTCCCCTAGTTCTGGCTTCTGCCTCTGCAGGGCAGACAGCCAGGATGATGACTGCACCCGAGGACTGCTCACCCACCTCCTTGGTCTCCCACAGTTGTTTAGGCAGTGGCTTCGGAACATTTAACAGATTCTCTTCTTTCAACGGACCAGGGAAAGATGCTACTAAAAGAGAGAAGAAGCACATTCATTGAACTAAAATTAGCCACCTGACTTTTGGCCAAATAATTAGCTTAATTTAAAAGTGCTGGGGCAGGGCGGGGGTGGGGGGGTGGGGGTGGGGGTGTTGCAAACTTTTAATACCAGTACTCAGGAGGCAGAGGCAGGTGGATCTTTGTGAATCTGAGGCCAGCATACTCTACATAGGAAGTTCCAGGACAGCTAGGGCTACACAGAAAGACCCTGTCTCAAAAGGGAAAAAAAAAAAAGCTGGGTGATGGTGAGGTACCTCTTTAATCTCAGCACTCGGGAGGCAGAGGCAGGCAGATTTCTAAGTTTGAGGCCAGCCTGGTCTATAGAGTGAGTTCCAGGACAGCCAGGATTACACAGAGAAACCCTGCCTAAAAAAAACAAACAAACAACAACAAAAAAAAAACTAAAATAAAAAGAAAGAAAGAAAAGAAAAATATTGAAAAGCAGTTCTTAGCATTAGGGGCTGGCTGCCCTGGAACCCGCCACGTAGCCCAGGCTGACCTCAGACTTGCAGCTATCCACCTGCCTTTGTCTCTGAGGTGGTGGGATTACAGGCATGTGCCACCCTGCCCAGTGAACAGGATTTCTTTAGCAAACATTTACTTTTTACATACTCTTTTTTCTTAATATTGTATTATTTTGTGTGTATGGATATTTTGCCTACATGTGTCTGTGTACTACTTGAATGCCAGCGCCCATGGAGGCTAGAAGAGGGCATCAGATCCCATGGAACTAGTTATAGATGATTATGAGCTACCCTGTGGGTGCTAGGAATCAAACCCAGGTCCTCTGGCAGTGCTCTTAACCACTGAGCCATCTCTCCAGCCCCTTTATCAAATATTTATTGATAGTCCCCTGGGAAGTTGCTTTGTGTGTCATTGTGGGGATTGAAGAAACAATTAAGAAACAGATTCAAATTTGAGAGTCTATAAACTAGCCAGGGGACAAAGGCAACACACTTAGGACAGTCATTAAGACTGAAGAAAGCCAGGAGAGTAATGCATCCTCGCTTCAGAGCAGGGAAGAGAGGAATACCAAGGCTTTGGAGCTGGGTGGGCTGGGCTCCCTTCAGAAACAGCAAAGAGCATTCAAGCAAGAGCATGGGGGAAAAGTAACAGGCCTCGAGAAGAGACGGTGCCTACCACCAGTCAGGGTGCTCTTTGTATGTGGACTACGGTCCAGGTAAAGGAGAGTGACAGGAAATAAAATGCACAGGCACGAGACCAGGCCAGGGCCCTTCGGGCATGAGAAAAGATAAGAACACACACACACACACACACACACACACACACACACACACACACACACACACACTGATAAAGAAAGGATGAAATAAAGAAGGAAACAACAGACGAAGAGGTAGGTGGGGGAGGTGGTCCGGAGGGTAGACAGAGCGCTTGCCCTGTAAGAGTGAGGACTAGAGTTGGGATCCCCAGAATCCATGTAAACCAGGTAGGCATGCAGCTGCCTGTAATCCCAGAGCGTCAGGGAAGGGACGGGGCTCCTTGCTCCTGGAGCAGGCTTGGCTGTCGAGGTTAGTCTAAACCAGCAAGTGCTGGATTCAGCAGGTCTCCTACCTCAGTAAGTGGAGAGTAATCAGGGAAGATACCCAACTCTGGGCTTCCACATGAATGTGCATGTATGTGCAAGTGCCCTCCAGGGTGTCCACATACATAAACACAGCACACGCACACACACACACACGTACACAAATGGAGAATAGAAACAATGTATGGAAATCACAGTGGCAGTGAAGCTACTTGGTAAACGCTGGGATGGGGAATAAGGAAGGACTGATCATCACCAGGCACATCTGGCTGAACAGCTGACAGGGGTTCTAATGGGTCTTTAATGTTACAGGATGACCTGGCTCTACCTGAAGGGACTGTTCCTCGGCTGTGATAACACTCTCAGCCATACCAATGAAAGCAAGAAGGCTGGCTAAGCCACAAACCAAGTGAAGGCTTTTTGTTCTCAGGCACAGACCAGAGGTCAAAGGCGAGCTCTGAGGAACTATGTGATCTAATGTCAGGAAGATTATTCAACAGCAGACCCTGGAGACTGCTTGGAATGAGGGATGCTGCAGGGTTCTGGGGACTGCATGGCTCCACTGTGACTGTCTTGCCTGTCCTGCCCTTGGCCCACACAAGATGAGTAACAGACCCCAGGAAGTCACTTAAAAGTGAGATCAAACTAGGCATGTTGGCACAAGCCGCAATTCCAGCATGTAGGAAGTAGAGGCAGGAGGATCAGGGTTCAGTGCTAGCCTGGGCTACATGATACCATATCTCAAAGAACAAACAATAATACAAGGGCCAAAATTTCAGAATGAACTCCGAGAAAAGGGTTAAAATAAACACTCGGAGCTTCCTTTTCTTTGCAAGTGAATACAACTGAGGGAATTATTACAACTGTGGACTTCCCGAGTAACTACCAGTGGCTGGCCCAGCACCACACAGTGCTCATCATGGCTAACCCAGCGCCAGGGAAACAGACGCCACTTCTGCTGAGACAACCAGACTTTATCAGCATGCCATTATGGTTCAAAGCAGGGGGAGAACAAGGATAACTATGTGCTCTGAAGGTTCTGCGGGAGCTAAGCAAGGCGGCCTCATGACTCAAGGCCCAAAAGAGATCAGTCACAGGACTGTGATTGGGACAGGCCACAGGGCCTCAACAGGTTGTTTCCTTTGAGGAATTCATTGTTGTGGTTTCTTTCCATGTACAAGGTTTGTTGGGAATTCTTCAAAGAATTAACAGGGGATGGCCCTGAAGCAATTTCTTCATTTCTACCTTGAATGATCAGATGAATCAGTTTCAAGTTTTTATGATTTTATTTAACATCTAAAGTGGTTTGCTCAGAAAAGGAGTGTTCAGGGTGATGTCAGAGGGCTCCACCTCTCATGCAAGTGGTCCTTGCTCATCATGTTCTCCACAAGCCTGGCCTCTGTGACATATAAACTAATTTAGCCATCCAGCTGATTCAGATTATGAAAATTACACCTCAGCTTATAAAGATCTAACAGTGCCAGGTATTAAATGACTAAAGGAACAGGTTTGGATCCCCATTTGTTGACGGTTTTCAGTTTCATTTCAGCAGATCTCTAGCATGATTTTAACTGGCTTTACAAAGCTCAGTGTCTTCTGCAAAATGCATAATTCGATCTTATAATAAATTTGCACTTACTTTTCTTTTTTTGAGACAGGATCTCATGTATCCCAGGCTAGTCTCAAGCTCTATATGTAGCCAAGGTTATCCCTGAACTTCTGGTCCTCCTGCCTCCACCTCCCAGGTGGAGGACTACAGAAGTTTACAACATGCTTGGTTTACTTGGTGCTGGAGAGTGAACTCTGGCTGCATGCATGCATGCTGAGCAGTCCACCATTTGAGTCACAGCCTTATTGCAAACTGGCACGTTCCTTGCCCTGCTATCAAGTCTACCAATTACTCCCAGTGACTTTCTAAATGGGCTGAGGCAGTGTTGAGAAAAGGCAGAAGAACAACTGTTTAAGTACTTGATTAATTCACGCTTTCATGTGGCTGTAACTCTTGCTTCCTTGCCCAACCCTGTGACTGTGGTACTGAGGGGACTCGGGTAACAAGGGACCATTGTAATCTAGTCACACATTTCCTCTCTCATGGCTTTGATCATGTCTGGCTAATTTTCTTAGAGCATCTCAGATAAGTAATCTAAGCAACAGTTGTCAGCCTTCACATAAATGACTGTCAACCCCAACACCTGCTCATACCTTCCCCATGGCCATCATTTTCTCCATCACAGAAACCTGGTAGAAAAGAGAAGAAAGAGAAAAACACTTTTATATGTGGTGCTCTCATTTATTAATGCATTAGAATAACTTTCTGATGTGAAATACAATTTTTGAAAATTCTAAAGCAGTTTTGACAATGCTCATTCCAGGTGCTTTAGCATTCACACTACAAACAGACGCAGTTATTCTGAGTCTAGAGTTGGGGCCCAAGTGCTTTTCCTTTAAAGTGTCTTTAACTGTTCTTGCTGATCCTGTCTCAAGAGAACAGTGGTTGACAGTCTGAGAAATCATTGAAAGCAGTCTATCTTCAAAATACAAAGCAAAAACGTTTGCTTTGTCACACCCCCAAGTGTGTCATCCTAGGGGAGAGCAGGTACCTTGGAACCCGAGTCACTGTTCTGACACTTACCATGGGTGGAGGTTCCATGATGGACACGGTGACACATTCTGGATTCTTACACGAGTTGTTTTAAAAAATACATATCTAGAGTCTAAGCCAAGATAAGGGTATATGTGATAGCTATTCACGAAGATTTTTAAAAGCTGATTTGGAATCAGCCCTGACTGAATGAAGAGCTATGAAGTCTGCTTCAGATGACGATGCAGAGTCCCTTCAGCACCTAACTAAAGAGCCGCCCCCAACATGGCTAGCCACTCCCCTCGGAGCAATCACTACACCCAGTGAGTTTTCAGCATAGACTCGGGATACAATTCTAAGTCTAAGCCTTTAAACACAGCTCAGCTTAGGTAAGTTTCTGGAAGAAATGGTTAAACTATAAATTAACCCAATTAGTCTATAAAACTTAAAATACCTAATAATCATTCACTCAACAGATACTTGCTCAGTTCCTGCAGCGTGCGTTAGAGGGTTGGGGCAGGTGGTGCGGGGCAGACAGGAGGAGGCAGAGCTATGGCGTTTTAGGGACAGATGGACACTAACAGTTCCCAAGGGTGCCAAAAGCTCCGTAGTTCAGCATATTCACAAATCGCAGGCTTTTTCCCAGGCCCCCAGAAGACAGAATCTAAGTTAGTGGTTTAAAATCATTTTAGTGCGTCTACAAGACCACTAGGCTAATTTTTTTTTTCCTTTTTGGTTTTTTGAGACAGGGTTTCTCTGTGTAGCCCTGGCTGTCCCAGAACTCCCTCTGTAGACCAGGTTGGCCTCAAACTCACAGCGATCTGCCTACCTCTGCTGGGATTAAAGGTGTGCACCGCCGACGCCGGGCGGGTGGTGGCGCACGCCTTTAATCCCAGCACTCGGGAGGCAGAGGCAGGAGGATCTCTGTGAGTTCGAGGCCAGCCTGGTCTACAAAGTGAGTTCCAGGAAAGGCGCAAAGCTACACAGAGAAACCCTGTCTCAAAAAACAAAACAAAACAAAACAAAAAAAGGTGTGCACCGCCACTGCTGGGCCACTAGGGTAAACTTGTTAAGATGAGGATTCCTGGACCCACCCTTTAAAGATGCTGATGCAGAAGGTATGTGAATTGCATGCCACTCAACAGCAGACAGAGTGCTTGCCGAGCGTGCTGAGGCCGTGGATTTGAGCCCAGCACCACAAACAAAGTAAAAAGAAAAAAAGAAAAAGAAAAAGCAAAGGGGAAAAGCCAACTGGCCAAGTTGCACAGAGCTGGCTAAGCGGCTACTAATCAGTCTGTGACTTAGCACTCTAGGGAAAGGCCGTGTGGCCAGGAGGCCATCAGAAAACGCAGTGCACAGGGACAAAGGCACCGCTCCAGAGTCAGCATTGACAGAAGGAGGGGCAGAAGCTTCTCATGCAGTGTGGCTTTTGAGAAAGAGCAAGGAACGTAACCGTTCTGACCACCAAAATGTGACGATCCTATTAAAAATGGCAACTTACATTTTATAAAATGGTCTACTATGGTACACTGAAGAATCTCTTCATCAAGACACTCTAAGTTTAACTACTAAGGCTGACCAGTCCCTACAGCATGAAGAGCTAACTGGGGGTCACCATGTGAATCTCAGAGGTGAGCAGATTCTCTGTGGGGTATCCTGCTGTGTCACCCTCTTCCCCAGACTAGTGCAGGAGGCAGGCTTCATCCCTAGGCAGGCAGGGAGGACCAGGGAGGGAGATGATAACGCTTGCTGCGTGCCAGGTACCTCACACAATGATCTCATGTAATCCTTGGAGCAACTGTCTGAGATATGAGCTCTCACCACACCCAAGAGCACACTGCTGGTTCTGGGACTAGAACTCTGGGCATGGTACCTTCAGAAAGTCCATGTCCCTAGTCAAGGTGCCGTCCCCGGAGGAATGGAGGCGGGTGGAGGAAAGGTTAAGGCGCTGCTTCCTTGGTGAAACAGGAGTGGGAAGGAGTAAGGACAGGGGAGGAGAGGAGGAAGACACACACAGCAGGGGCCGGAACGGTGAGGTCTGGCCGGGGCACAAGCTGGGAGGAGTCGGCTAGTCATCGGATGAAGTGGAGAGCAGAGGCCTGGGTTAGTAATGAGCCTTAGGGACTGTTCTTGTGGCAGAACCTGAGATGCTTTGGGACAGCCTCAAGGCCAGGACACCATAGAAAATCAACAGCCTGGACAAGAGGCCCAGAGGCAGGGTACTTGGCAGTGCAGACACAAGGCACGCTGCAGGGAGCAAGAGCAGTTGGTCTGGAGTGTGGGGTGAAGGCAAGCGAATGAGGGAAACTAAACATCGCTCTCAGGGGTCCACTTAAGTGACCAGAGGACGGGGGCAGCCATGGCTGACAAATGTATTTGAAATTAACATATAAAAAAATAGCCAAATTTAGACTTCTACTGCTACTACTACTGTTACTACTACACACAATTACACACACACACACACACACACACAATTCCAAAGGGTACAACTTTAACAAAAGCGACGAGAACAGAAAGCAGGGAATTATGACTAGGTATCTAGAAAAAGAGGAAATTCATTCACTGCAGTCCCACAGGGGACAGGACAGCAACGACCAACGCCACATCTGTGTTGTAGGAAACCCGTAGCCTTGGAGCCTCAGAGGGTTGATCAAATTAACATCTGAGACCATGTTCCTTTTATGTGCTCCCATGTCTGGCAAGCCTACATAATGCCTCACAGTCTTCATGTGAAGTAGAAATACAAGGTGTAGATATTGTAACCACAGTGGATCCTAAGAGAAGTTTCTAGAATTCCAGCCTTCCTCTCTGGGCCTTCCTGCTACCCTGATGACACTTTTGCTTTTGTTTTGTTTTTTATATTTTATTTTATTCCTCCCCCTGGTACCCTGGTGTGTGTGTGTGTGTGTGTGTGTGTGTGTGTGTGTGTGTGTGTGTGTGTGTGAGCCATGATGCATGTGCATGTGGAGGTCAGAAGACATCCTTGGGTGTTGGTCCTTCCTCAACTTCCACCTTCTTTGAGTCAGGGTCTCTTTTCATTTGCTGCTGCATACTCCAGACTATCTGGCCCACGAACTGGAGACCTTCCCATAGAAGCACTCAGATTACAGGTGCACACGGCAACATCTGGCTTCTACATGGATTCCGGGGATCTACACACAGGTTCTCATGTTGGCATGGTAAGTATTTCGCCTGCTGAGTCTTTGCCCAGCAGAGGTGTCTGTGTCAGGGAGACAGGTGTCACTGGCAGGCTTAGCTCTCCTGTGGCTACTTGACTTTAAACCGTCTCCTTACACTGTGAGTCAGAGCTTAGTGCTGCCTGAAGGGTCACTGAGCTACAGATCACATCTCCACCCCTCAGAGGAGACTCAAGGGACTACAGTCCTCAGCGATGGCGGTTTGTAGTCACAGGCTACACTCTGCCCTCGGCTCCTAGCTGCTCCCTGAAGAACAAGGGCCACTTTAGCTTTTTCTACATGCTACTATGAAGGAGGACAGTTTGGAGATAAAGCCAAGCTGTGGGACAGGGCAAGTGTCACATTGTGCTGATCCACCCACATGGATATATGAAACAGTAATTAAACTGCACATGGTACCAGGGGAATGGGTAATTCAACAAGAGAGAGAAATGATAAAAACCCTGTTTGGTTGCATAAAAGTTTATTCCTGTCATTTACAACTTCATATCATTTATGTCTAATTGTCATTTAATTGAATAACCATCATGAAAAGTACCATGTATCAGACTAACAGCTTTGCTTCCTGGGGATACAAACTGAGCTGGCAAATGGGTCATATACTTGACGGCTCCTGTAGCTAGAGCAGGCACTCCCTCATCATCTGCTCCCAGTAACAACAACGATGACGGGCCTCCGTCACTATGCTCAGCAAAGATTCCCAGGAAAGGGCCATTATTATTATTCCTACTACAGAATCTAGTTCTGGGCTTTGGTTATATTTTCCCATCACTTTTAAAATCTTTACTTTATTTGGTGGGTCCTATAAAAAGAAATACTTTTTTTGTGAAGTTAGTTGGTATTTTTAAAATCCAAAAGGAAAGAAAATGAAAAACTTTAATGAATTACAGGGGGAAAATACATAAAACCATTTAAAATAGCTCCCACCAACAAATATAATTCCCCAGAAATAATTCCCATCCTTGGAGACTTGAATAATATTTTAAACACACTGGCTTTCCCATGTAAACACATCCATATTTGGACGTGTTTCTGAGTTCTGTGATATGGAGGCAACCGCAGAAGCAGGCTCACAGTGCAGGCATCCATGCTGGGGGCTGGCCCACCTTCTGCAGCTGGCAGATACTGTGGCTCACGATTTCCAACACTGACTTGAAAAGGAGAGCCCACCCAAGTTCCCAAGACAGCCCAGGAGCCCTGTCCAGGCCTCACGCCTTCCTCCACTTCCTTCTTGCTGCTCCCGAGCAGGGTCTGATTGCTCCTCAGCCTCTCATCCTCAGCCTCACACCCGCTGACAGCTCCCTTCTCCCCTCTTACAGGAGACATTCAATTCCATTCCTCTTTACATGGGAGCGCAAATGCTCCTTCAACTACTAATGGTTCCCTTGTCCTCTCCAGGCCATTAGTCCCTTCTAGAAAAGGATAATCTCAGCACAGAGGGCAACACCAAGGCTCCAGGGAAGATCACGTGAGGCTAGTTGGCACCCAGTCAGGGTGACAAAGGCCTTGCTGTGTGCACAGGCACCCCACTGGTTAGTCTCTGCTTTTTAAGGCTTTGTTTATACATATCCATCTCTACCTGTCCTGAAGCCAATCTCCGCTAACTTCCCACACACCCCACTTCTCTAAGCACTGTTTAGTGACCCATCTCCAATTCCAACTTCCCTGCCAACTTCCCTCTCATATTCCCATGTGTGGAAATACAGCAGATGTCCCTGACCAATTCCAAAGCTCCCAGGCTTTACAAAGAGTCATTTCAGCAAATGAACTGCACCAAGGGAACAAACACAGTAATAATTACTATCAAATCCTATCCCTACTATATGCAAGGAAGTAAGACCATGAATGGCTCTCCTTGGAAGGAACAGACATTTTAGGCTTTAAATAAACCAACACTGTGAAGAAAACGGGAAAAGCTAGTATCTAAGCCAGTCCTTACACTCAAAGTCAACCTGTATATGGAAAAGATGATTCAAACCTGTGTTCTTTCTAGATTAGAAGGCCCAGAAAGATGTGCTTGGGAAGTATCTGAATGAAGCACCCCCACTGTGGGTGCAGGTTAGATGTGAGCACCTGGAGTGAGTTTTAGAGAGTACTCAGCACTGTGTGATTTTTTTTTTCCCCTCACTTCTCCAGCAGCAAGCTTGCCTCTACTGGGCACTGCGTCAGGTGTTGGCTAGGACAAGACTTTTAAGATAGCGCCTTCAAGAAATTCACCCTAAGCAGAGGGAGAGAAGCACTCCCCATGAAGGGGCAGTAGTCACAGCACCGGTGTGTAGGAGCTTGGGACAGTGGAGGACAGGGGTAGCTCCGGACAGCTCCGGACCGCTGATGAAAGGCTCCACAAGTGCAGACACGGCTGAGGCTTTCACCCCGAGGCAGTGTGGCTGGGTAGGAGAGGAAGACGTGGGGAAAGGCTGAAGCAGCAGGACCCAGCGAGTTCACACAGCTGTGAGGGGTGGGCTGGGGAACAGGAAGTATGCTCATGGAAAGCCAGAAAAAAGGCCTCGAAGGGAAGTGTCCGGATGGTTTCAGCAGGAGAGCATGAGGAACAGACGGGGGGGGGGGGGGGGGGGGGGGGGCTAGCAATGGAAGCAGAGGTGGCATGCGTCTGCCCTCTCCCGGTTCCGGGCCTTTCTCTTTCAGACTCTCTCTCGCCCACAGGGGAGAAAACCAGTGTTTTGAGAAGAAATGGAGACCAAGGAGCAGGTGACGGTACTTGGCTCCAATTCTGCTCCTCTCCCGTGCCTTGTTCTCTGGGACACGCCTTCCTGCAGAAAGGTCTTCCCCTTGACTCTCCCCAGCCCGTCTTGATTACTCCTCCCATAGGGGTTCATAGGGGTTGTCTGCATCAGCTCTGCTGGCCCCAGGGGCGGGGGTGTTTGCCTCATCCTCAGGTTCAACCATACAAGGTCCATGGACCCACAAAGTGAAGCCACTTCCTCCAACCTGGTCGGATCAGTAACAAAAGAAGGCCTTGGAGAACCCAACAAAGTCAGACTGCAAGGATGTAAGCTAGGACCAAGACCATCCCGACTGCTACCGCAGGAGCCTGTGCACAGGATGAGGCGTGTCTAGAGCAGGGCGGCTGCTACAGGGAGGAGGAAGTTCAGGAGCCGAGAGGTGCCAACAGGGAAGCGGGCGCCATGGAAGAAGCAAGGCAGGGGTGCATCCTAACTGTGTCGTGAGCACACACACTTCCCCTGCTGGGAGCTCTTCTCTGGAGACCACCCAACTGGGGAGAGGCATGCACCGCATACGCTTTCCTCTCGGTTTCTACAGCGCAGGAGAAAGCACAGGCCCTGTTAGCGGGCCTGTGTGGCTTACCCATGTATGGGGCAGGCCAGGGGGACTGGCCGCCTCCTCCATACGGGTCCTGGGGCTTGGTGCTCAGAGCACTGGTGTGAAGAGCAGAATCAGAATTGGTCCTAAGGAGGGGAGGAGAGAGTCTGGCTGAAAATCCATTTTTTTTCCTCAGTGAAATGCAGTTTTTTTTTCCCTAAATATTACGAACAGGAGAGAAGATGAGAATAATCGACTTATAAACATCCATATAATAAAGGATCAGGACCTACCTGCAGTCCTTTACACCAAGAAGGCACCTGAGGACCACCACATGTTCAAAAAGAGTTTAATCTGTGCTTGGATAGTCTTTCACTAGGATGCTAATGGCACAGTGAACTATTTCAGCAAGGCTGGCCTCAGATTCACAGCTTCCGTGAGACCATCCCTTCCCTCTCTGCATCTCAAAAGACGGGCTGTGGCCAGGCCAAACTGAGGCTGCACGAGGCTTCCTGAGAATTCCTGAGCCTATGTGGAAAAGCAGCCAAAGCAGCGGTCCTCAAGCCTTCTCAGGGAGAATGCAAGGTGAAAATCCTACCACCATGCCTCCTCATTCTCACCCTCGGACGGCAGCGCAGGGCTTTCCAGAAGTTGTGCACTGTTACGCACTGAACAGACTGAACGCAGGCACTAACTACGGCTGCCAGAGGTACAAGAATCAACTAGTCTCTGGATATTTTGTTTGCTTTAGAAAATGCTATTGGGTATCTTTTTTAAAAGGTATTATTTATGTTGGCATGTAGTAAGCTTATTAGTGCTATGCTGAAATGCACCAAGGGGAACATTTCACATCTCTGTTAGGTTTCCATCAGAAGCAGCTGAGTATCAATGGGTATCCTCACATAAAGAAATGCCCTTTCAGTGCTTTGGTGGGTTTTTCACAGTGTAAAATAGTCCTAAGCAAACGTTTGGGATAGCAAGTATTTCAAATCCTCTCTGAGAGTTCTAGTGTATGCACAACTTCAGCTCCAAAAGACAACAACGATTTATCTATCCCATCCAAAGGTCAAACTGTCATAAAGGGGGCACATGAGCAACTTCAAGTCAGCCTAAAATGCTTCTTCATGTTCTGCTCCAGGCATCAGCTTCATGTGACTTATGCCACGTGGCTTCAGAGAAGGGAAGAGGCGTCAAGGGAAGGACTCTTGGGATGCTGCAGCAACAGTGTGTGCCCCGAGGGCTCCTGGCTCCTTCAGAGTCACAGAAACCCGGAAAACATCAGTCCAACACAGAGAGAGATAAGGAAAATGGGAATGTAGACTGGCTACTAGACCATGTAGAAAAATTATGGTTAATCTTGTTAATCACGTTGTGGTTATTATTTTTAAGCCCCTCATTGGCCTTTTACTGTTCGGGCATTCAGAGAGAGAAGCTTTGTCTAGTTGGCCATGGAATGGCATATGAAGGGGGAGAGAAGAAACGAGACGGCAGGATGCCGATCAAGACGGAAACTGCTTACAACTTCCTCTCACCCGCAAGATTTTTAATTTCTAAATTAGTTTCCAAGGTTCGGCTTCATAGCCCATATTGGTTTTGAACATGAAGTCCTCCTGCCTCTCAGCTCAGGAGAACTGGGATTACAGCCTGAGCCACCATGCCCAACTCAAGTCTTTCGTTGTTGTTTTTCAAATTCCAGTTCCTTCTGCATATCAGCCAAGGTTTCTGGGGAAACTCATTTGTCCTCTTAAAGCAGAAAAGGCCACTCATCCTTTTGGTCAGGACTGAACAATGGCCCGGGGAAGCAACCTCGAGAGCAGTTGGTGGTTATTGTACTATGCCTCCATGTAGCATCCTACTTAATCCTCACAGCCAATCAATGCCATCATGGGGACAATTACCACCTCCATGTTCATATGTACTAACCAAGGCAGTCAGAAGTGACTTGGTCAGGATCACATGGTCAGAAGCACACCCTGGTGGTCCCCTCCAGACTTCATGTTTTTATCACACCATTTCCTACACATTCAATGTTTTTTTTTCTTTATCACTTCATATAAACACAACTGATATAAACAAACTGGGCAGAGGGATAACATGCAGGACTACCTGGCCAAACCCATCGTCTCCTTCTTGAAAATGTACTTCTACTATGGAACAGTCCACATACCTGTTAAGTGCAGATGTCAGCCGGAATCCAGGATGCTTTTCTTCTTTCCAAGGAGGCTGTTGCCTTTAGAAACCAGAACGGCATAAAAAGAGAAAAAGCTTAAGCTATGGGACCAAAGAGTGATTGCTAGCTGGCTCTTCTAAACTAGTCAGATAGGCCCAGAGTTCCCTAAGATGCCCAGGCCTCACTCTGCTCACCACTGTGGAGAGGAGGCCAGACTGAGGAACCTCTCAGGAGCAACAGCTCTGATTTCCAGGATAACTGCTTCGAATCCATAGCACAGCATCAGCCAGCTGGGCACACTTGGATGCTGGCTGGAACTGGTCAAAGAAAGAATGACTTCCCTCTCCAAGGGACAGTAGGTCTTATTCCAGTATATTAAGTTACCCCTCATCATGTACCTTGAGTGTGTGTGCAGGGCTGCTTTGGCAATCCTGGATGTGAACATTCTGCTCTCTCATATGGAAGGTCATGAGAGCAATATACTGCAAATCATCCTATGAAAATATTCACCTCACCAAGCCTAGGGCTCTGAGAAGCAAAAGACACTTCTGGGATACTGGGATAAAGCACATCCATTTGGAGATCTGCCCTTTCTGACTTAAAATACAATACTGTATTATCTTACAAACTTGAAACTCAGGACTTCTGAGGAGGCTGAAAACCTGCTTGAGGTGGGGCTAGTGTTGGCCATCCTGACCTCCTTTCTCGGATCCAGACTACATTATCCATGATGAGGGCTCAGTCAGTATTTGCCCAAAGAATCAATGAGGAAAAAAATTGAGAGTTGAAGCTCAGAGAGTTCTTTCTTTTTGTTTTTTAACATCTTCTTGGTTTTTTTTTTTTTGTTTTTTTTTTTTGAGGCAGGGTCTCACACTGTATCCTAGGCTGACCTTGAACTCACAGCAATCCTCCTGCTTCAGCCTCCCAAATTCTGGGATTAGAGCTGTGGGCCACTTTTCCTGGAGATCCATCCATTTGAAGAATCTCCCAAGTCTGACAAGGAGGTGTGAAGTAATGCACATACACAACAGAGGTAGTCCTCTTTCTGTTACTGGTATGACGAGTCACCATTATACCAGATAGAAGACATAGTCACAGACTCGAAGCCAAATTCACTGCTTACGTTTTCAAGTCAGGAGTCTTGCATTCCTTTCAGTAACTGGCTAAGAAATGCCACAGAAAGAGTTTATTTTTCATGTCTATCATAAGACTACCAAATCAGACACTCTGTTGGTAAATGTTTTCCCAATGCATTTTTATTTGAATCTAGATTTGCTTAAGTAATTTTTATTCTCTATTTTCTTACAAGCTCAGAATTATCCATGGAAAGGCTGAGATTTTTTGATGTTGTCGTGATCTGAGATAGGGACTCATTTCATAGCTTAGGCTACCTGGAGTTCACTAAGTTCCCCAGGCTAGCCTCAAACTTGTGATTCTCGACTCTTAAGTGCCAGGATTGCAGGTATATGCCACCACCCCCAGCTCAAGACTTACATCGTATGAGATAAAACAAAATTTGATGCTGAAAATTTCTAGCTAGGCCAGGTACTTGGGACAGCCTGGGCTACATAGAGAGACCCTGCCTAAAAAAAAACAAAAAAACAAAAACCACCACCACCACCACCAACAACAACAAAAACATAGTGGAACTTGTCTCTAATACCAGCATTGGAAAGGCAGAGGCAGGAGGATCAGGAGTTCAAGGACATCCTTGGCTACATCACAAATTTGAGGCCAGATTGAGCTACAAGAGACCTTGACTCCAATATTTGAAAAAAACTAAAATAATATATAAATAAGTCTAAAACAGCATTCAAGATAGTTAAAAAGAGGTTCTCTCCTATCTGTTAAATACTTCTATAATGGGCTGGAGAGCTGGCTCAGTGGGAAAGAGCACTGCTGCTCTTCCTGAGGACCTGGGTTCAATTCCCAGCACCCACTATCTGCATGCAGTTCACAACTGTCTGTAACTCCAGTTCTGGGGGATCTGACACCTTCACACAGACAGACATGCAGGAAAAACATCAATGTACACAAAATAAAAATACATAAATAAAAAAATACTTCCATAAAACAAAACAAAACAAAACACATAGCTCTCTTACCTGGGCCAGCTCTCATCCAGGGGCTGCGAAGAGTAACTGGCTGCAAAAGTATTTCCATCAAAGTAGAAATTTCAATAAAGGAAAACAAAATTTATGGGGAGTTGAAGCAGAATTAAGAAACTGAACTGGAGGTTGGCTCTCACTCTCCACACCCGATGGGGCACCCCGTCCACACATTCTCACCAGTTCCAGGCCTCCAGCTTTTTTTTTTTTTTTTTTGGTTTTTCGAGACAGGGTTTCTCTGTGTAGCTTTCCTGGAACTTACTTTGTAGCCCAGGCTGGCCTCGAACTCACAGAGATCCGCCTGGCTCTGCCTCCCGAGTGCTGGGATTAAAGGCGTGCGCCACCACCGCCCGGCCCCAGGCCTCCAGCTTTAACCAGTGTTCTCACCAGACTCGTGTGTGGTGTTCCTTTTCTTTTTGTGTTGTGTATGTGCACGTGTGTGTGTGTGTGTGTGTGTGTGTGTGTGTGTGTGTGTGTGTAAATGTGTGTGTGTACAGGTGTATGTCTGTGGAGGTCAGGAGTCATCCTCAGGTACCATTCCTCAGAAGCCATCTACCTTGGTATTTTGCTGTTGTTTGATCTTGGTTTTTGGAGACAGGGTCTCCCTATGTAGTTCTGGCTGTTCTGGAACTTTCTATGTAGACCACGCTGGCCTTCAAGTGCTGCCTCTGCCTCCCAAGAGCTAAGATGAAAGGCTTGCACCACCATGGCTGGCTCCTTGTTTGCTGAGACAGAGCTTCTCTTTGGCCTGCAGCTTGCTGTGCTGGTAAGGCTGACTGGCCAGCCCACCCCAGGGATCTGCCTGTCTCTGCCTGCCCAGTGCTCTCATTATTTTTTTTAAACTTTATTTTTTATTTTTATTTTTATTGGTATGAAGGTGTCCGATCCCCTGGAACTGGAGTTACAGACAGGTGTGAGCTGCCATGTGGGTGCTGGGAACTGAACCCGGGTCCTCAGGAAGAGCAGCCAGGGCTCCCAACCATTGAGCCATCTCTCCAGCCCCAGTGCTCTCATTATAAGCAGGGGTCACCATATCCTGTTCTTTCACATGGGTTCTGGGGAATCAAACTCAGGTCCTCAAGTTTACATGCTAAGTACTCTGCCCACTGGGCCTCCTTCCTCCCTCCCCCGCCTCGAGTGTGTGTGTGTGTGTGTGTCCTGTCCAACATCTGTTTTCACGAACTTCATCTACCTGCATTACAAGCACTGCTAAGGCCATCCTATACAGGTGCCTTTTTTCATGGGATGGATGGACTCAGGCCCAGTTAGTTTTAGTCAAGGTATCTAATTCACCTCAAACAGCAATTGGCTCTGGGATAGGCTCGAGATACAAACAGGACCAAGGAGAGTACTTTCCAGGTGGCTTTTCATGAGGTATTTGGGTCCAGGTGGCTCCAGAATGCTTGTCTATGCAAGAAGTCAACACCAGTCGTAATGATATCATAGAGACTCCTGGCCACAGCCCTTGGGTTCCAGTGATATGCTTCCTTTTTCCTCAGGAGACTGAGGCAGGAATACGGCAAGCTTGAGACCAGAGTTGGCAACTTAGTGAGACCTTCTCTCAAACAAAGTAAAAACAAGAAGTCATGGGGCTATAGCTCAGTGGCAGATCACTTGTCTAGCATGTGTAAGGCCCGGGGTTCAATCCCCAGGGCTGGGGGGATGCACTTCCCTTTTGAGTTTGTTTGGGGGAGGCTTTGTTTGTTTGTTTTTAAGACAAGCACTTACTAAGTAGCCTAGGTTGGCCTAGAACTTATCATGTAGCCCAGGCTAGCCTCAGACTCAAAGCAATCCTTCCATTTCAGCCTCATGACTGCTGAGATTACAGGCATTTATAGCCATATATATCTTTAAAAAAATTTCTTTTTCAAAATTAAGGTGAGTTCATGTTACTTCTAAATCAAAAAAGAACTGTATTAGACTTGAAGTGGATGTAAATTCCTGGTGTAAAAGGCATTGTTTCCTAGATTCTATGTTGCTTATTGGGTGGAGCGCATCTCAGGACCCATTCCAAACACATGGAAAGACAATGGAATGTTTACTACACACTGAGTACAGCAGAGCTGTCGGTGTTGACTTGGTGACTTGCACTTAGAGGACTGTTTCAAGGTATTTTAAATACTGTTATTCTCCTGCTTAAAGAAATTAAAAAGCTGGGTGTGGGGGCACATGCCTTTGATCCCAGCACTCTAGGAGACAGAGGCAGGCTTATTTCTGTGCGTTCAAGGCTATCCTGGTGTACATAGTAAGTTCCAGGCCAGTCAGGGCTACAGAGTGAGACCTTGTCTCTAAAAGAAATAAAGAATTAATTCATTTAAAAGGGGGGTTGGAGAAATGGCTAAATAGTTAAGTATGGGCAGCTCACAACCACCTGGAATTCCAGGTCCAAGGGATCCAATGTCTCTGGCCTCCTCGGGAATCTGTACTTATATGCACATACTCCTCCCCCATACATATTTACTTAAATATAATACAAATCAATCTTAAAAAACCCACTTTCCAATATTCTCTCTTGCTGAAAGACTAATCAGACTTCACAGCAGATGTCACCTCACAGTGTGGCTGCAGGGCCCTGGGCTTCGCTCACCTTCTCTCTAGTCTGAGATGTCACTCCACAGTGTGGCTGCAGGGTCTTGGGCTTCCCTCACCTTCTCTCTGGTCTGAGATGTCACCCCACAGTGTGGCTGCAGGGCCCTGGGCTTCCCTCACCGTCTCTCTGGTCTGAGATCTCACCCCACAGTGTGGCTGCAGAGCCCTGGGCTTCGCTCACCTCCCCTCTCTGGCCTGGGCTCCACTACCACGATTACTCTTCTGCCTCTGCTAGTGCCGGGTCCCTCTCCTGTTCTCTCTGGTACATACAGCCTCCTCGCCGACCTGGCTCACTTCTCACTGCCATCGCCAAACCCACTCTTTTTGTCTCTATGTCACTGACTGGATCACATACACACTTAACCATCACCAATACTGCTTTTTATTCGAAATCTTTATTTCTTATATTTGAGGACGAAATAGTATAGAATATGCGAGGTATACATTAAGATATCAGAAATAGGAAAATGGAGATAATAAGCACCTACTGTGTGCCAGGCTTGTGTTAAGCAGATTCATGTTCCCTGTATTCTTGTGTGTGTGTGTGTGTGTGTGTGTGTGTGTGTGTGTGTGTGTGTGTGAGAGAGAGAGAGAGAGAGAGAGAGATTCCCTGGCTGTCCTAGAACTTGCTCTGTAGACCAGGCTGCCTTCAAACTCTGCCTCCCCAGTACTGGGGTTAAAGGTGTGTGCCACCATCACCTGGCAGCTCCCCTACAATCTTAAAAGTTCTAGGAGGCAGATGACATGATAACCATTTTATGGCTAAAGAGACAGAGGTTCAGTCCTAGAAGAACTGAGAGATCCATAATCCCACAGCTGGCATGGCAGGCCGGGGTCAAACCTACCACCCACTGACCAAAGCTTCAGACTGTACCAAGCCACACGGCCTTTTGGGAGGAGGTGAACTGGCACCATGGGACCCAGAAAAGAGAAAACATGTACTCGGGGTATTCTCAGAAGATGGAGCCTAGAAAGGAAAGTGCCACCTGCTTAGGCTCAGGAAAAAAATGGAGTCTTAATGGAGTGGGGACCTGCCATGGAGGCCCAGGTAGGCATCTCAAGTGAATACAAAACATGGACTTAGAGAAATGTGGGTAGTAATGGGATCTTAATGACTTCCTTTGCCAAGAAGAGCACTATAACTGCTAGGTTTGTCTTCCACAAACTTGTTTTCTTTGTCATGTCTCATTACCTTATTTCGTAATCTGACTCTGAGCCAACACAACAAGACAGAGATATAGTCCATAGACACCGACCTTTCCTCAACCTGATCAGGCTTGGTGTCTATGAAGTTCAGGGTAGATCCCCGGAAAGAGAGAAAAGAGGCAGAGGTGATGAGGAGTAAGAGGCCCATGAAACATGAGTATATCAGTGTTGGAGTTGGCAAAGCCTGTAGGGAGGAGACACTGAGTTTCACAGCCTGTGCTTATCTGCCTTTCTTCTGAAAATTTGATGAATCTCTGCTTACAGAAGTTCAATTCATAAAGCAGATGTCTAGCATGGTTTTTCAAGTACACTGCCAGCCTTAAAATCATGAAGTCCCAGTTGGGCATGGTGACACACGCCTTTAATCCCAGCACTTGGGCAATCTAGAGGTAGGCAGATCTCTGTGAGTTCAAGACCAACCTGGTCTACATAGTGAGTTCCAGCACAGCCAGGGCTACATAGGGAAACCCTGCCTCAAAAAAAAATCATTAAGTCCCATCACAAAGTATTGGCCACTTAAGCTAGAATATGATGGTGTAGTAACACGGTAACCAGTACTAGAGTATGATGGTATAGTAACACAATAATCAGTACTAGAATATGATGGTATAGTAACACAATAATCAGTACTTGTTGCCTCAATGTTGAGGGCTAGTGAGTTTGCATTTTAACCTGCCTAATAAGCACTTAGAACATGAAAATGTAGTAAATCTTGGCTGTTCTTCATGTGACTAGATTGAGGTAAAAGAAGCTAGAAGATGTGACCTATGGGCTCTCTCCTTTACTTCTATCTCATCTAATTCAGTGGATAGTTAAAAATCAAAGGTACATGGCCCCTGTCCATGGATTGAGCTCAGTTTAACCTTGCTGACTGCAGGGACTCAGGGAGGAAGGATGCTGGTGTGACTCTGAGCTTAGCAAGGATGGGACTGAGCATGGAAAGTTGAGAAGCCAGGCTTCTCTGTCTAAGAGAAGGAAACTATTTGAGTCTGTCCCATTGTCTGTACTATATCGTTATTGCTGTTCTATTTTCCCTGTTCCCTGATTTCTCTTTCCTTTTCTTTCTTCCTTCCTTCCTTTCTTGCTTTTTTTTTTTGTTGTTGTTGTTTTGTTTTTTTGTTTTTCAAGACAGGGTTTCTCTGTGTAGCTTTGCACCTTTCCTGGAACTCACTCTGTAGCCCAGGCTGGCCTTGAACTCACAGAGATTCACCTGCCTCTGCCTCCCAAGTGCTGGGATTAAGGGCGTGCACCACCACTGCCCGGCCTTCTTTTCTTTGTTTTTTCTCCCTTCCTAAGATAGGGTCTCATTCTAGACCAGGCTGGCCTTGAATTCACTGGATAGTCCAGGCTGGCCTTGAACTGCAATCATCTTCCTGTCTCGGCTTCCTGAGCACTGGAATTGCAGGTGTAAGTCACCATGTTCAGCCCAAATATGCTCCTATAAAAAGAATGTATCAAAACAAAAATTTTAAATTATTAGTCCACATGAGCATGTGCATGATGGGGAGGGGCACCACGCCAAGGCGCATGGTTAACTGATGGAGTAAATTCTCTCTATCCATCTTGCGTAGGTTCTGGGAGTGGAACTCAGGCTGCTAAGCATGCATGGCGAGCCCTTTAGCTGCGGAACCACTTCGCCGGTCCTCGAGTCAAGTTTGAAAAGAAATGGAGGAGACCTTTCTGAGTCTCTGCACATGCGAGGGGGCAGCGGGCTGCGTGGGACATTACGAAATCGGGAATGTTCTGCCTTAAACTCTAAAGGACCAAGGTTTCCCTGCCTTTGGATAGGAATGTTAGGTAAGGGGTGGGTTTTTGAGGTCACATAGGTTTTGAAAACCCATAAAGACAGACATCTATTAACTCCAGAGCTTCTCAGAACCCCACTATGTATCATGAGACTCCAAGAGCAGGTGTGTGTGTGTGGGAGGGGACACAGTGTTTTTCAGACTTAACAGGCTATGAATTCAAGGAACAATGTCCCACGTTCTACAATTTCCATCCTGCTGTGAGCAGATGAGCCAAGGCTGGTTGCAGAGGAGAGGTTCCTGTCAGTTCCTCAGGCATGTGTTTCAGGGCTGCTCAGGCCAGGGTCTCAGTTCTGCTGGGGAACGGTCTAAACACTGGTTTTCTTCCTTTCACAACAACACACCTCTCTCAGAAGATGGCATTTTCTAACACATTACCTACAGATCAGAAAATCATCCAGAAACTCAACAAATAGTGTTTTGAGACGGAGCAAGTCTACGACCATTGGGAAGCCGGGGTGGGGGTGCTGAAGGCATGGCCTGTGGCAAACAGGCATCATTTTCTAGACTGAGCTCCCCAGGCCAAGAGTAGCCTTTGTGGTGCCTCTACTTTGCCTGCAAGTGGCAATGCCCTGGCCTTGAGGCAACCATGCCTGCCAACAGCATGGCCTGCTGCAGAAGGAGTCTCCTGGGCCTGAGCCCTGCGGGCGTGGCTGCCCACTCGGGAAGGAAGCTGGTGAATTTGCTGAACAATGTTCATTTTATCTGTGACCATTGTAGCCCTGCACCAAACCCTTGTTAGCAGACTGCCTACCCTAAACAATACCCACGCTAAGAAACAACTGCAATAAAAGAATTCTGAATACATTTTTTTCTTCTGTTTGTATCAACAAAGGTTGAAACCAGTTTTCTGGCTTTTAAAATGGCAAAACTTGGGGACTGGAGAGATGGCTCAGGGGTTAAGAGCACTGGCTGGTCTTTCAGAGAACCTGAGTTTGCTTTCCAGCATCCACATGGCAGCTCACAACTGTCTGTAACTACAATTCCAGGAAACCTCACATCTTCTTCTAGCTTCTATAGGCACCATACACATAAATGGTGCACAGACATACACACAGGCAAAACATCCATATACATAAGAGATAACTTTTAAAAATTAGACTGGTACTATAGACAAACATGAAAGGCAACAGTTTAAAGTGAGTTACTTCACAGCCAACAGAATGCCGGCCAGGAAAACAAAGAACGACTCAGGTGTCTCCCTCCAAATTCCGAATAAGTTACCACCTGAGATGTAAAAGCATCCTGTTTTCACTTGATGCTCACAGTGTTTTGACCCCTCAAACAGGACCCCAGAGTTCACTGGTGGATACCCCTAGACTAGTGAACTTTCTCTACATCAGCAGATGCCCAGGCCCAGAATCCAAATTAAGGACTTAAAAGTTGACCACAGAGAAATGGCTCCTGATCAGTGAATCAGACTCATCCCTCCGGAAGCTCAACACCTTTCTCTGTATATTCCTTCCTTTCCTTTCCCTCGGAGCTGGCAAGCCTTGTTGACACTCTTAACAGGCTGATTCAGAGTCGGGTCATCCTCAGGATATAGTACCTGCAAAGAGACAGGTTCTCTGAACATGCAGCGTAGTCCCTTCTGGAACTTTATACATTCTGTTCCCTTCGCCAGAACGTTTCTTTGGAAACTGGAACTCTTGCGTATTACCATCTGCGGTGGTTTTAATGAGAATGGCCTCCACAGCCTCATACGTTTGAATACTTGGTCCCCAGTTGGAACTATTTGGGAAAGGTTAGAAGTTGTGGCCTTGTTGGAGGAGGTGTTATGGGGGTGGGCTCTGAGGTTTCATAAGGCATTCCCAGTTAGCTCTCTCTGCTCTGCGGTTGTGTCTCCAGATGTGAGCTCTCAGTCACTGCTCCAGCGCCACGCCTGCTTCCTGCCATGCTCCCCACTATGACGGTCACAATCTCTAACCCTCTGAAACTCCAAGTCCCCCATAAACTCTTTCTTCCATGAGCTGTCTTGGTCATGGCGTCTTATCACAACAATAGAAAAGTAGCTAAGGCATGACCTGAAGTTACTTTCCTTAATTAATTATTATTATTTGCCTCTTAGCTGTCGGTCGTCTCCCAAAGGACTGTAACTCAAGAACACAGGGATGACATCTATTCATCACTTTGTCCCCAGTCCTCAAGACATCGCCTGGTCCAGGAAGAGTCTCCATGAATACACATTTAATGAATGGACCTACCACACCCGACTTCTTACTTAACCCTCAAGCCTCAATCTCCATTCCTTTTCCTCTCCTTCCTTCTCTTCCTCTCCCCACCCCTCTCCTTTTTACCCCTCTTCCCCTCCTCCCCTCCCCTCCATTTCTTTTTCATGCTGAGAATTGAACCCAGGGCTTGCTTTATACAAGCTAGGTTCTCAGCCACTGAGCCACATTAGCAGGAAAAAATTTTTTCTTGAACCCAAAGCCTTGAGACCGTTAGGCAAGTACTCTACCACTGAGCTATACTCTCCTGCCCATGTGTTGTTAAATCAGGCAGAAAAACATTTGGTCTTTTGCTAGAGAATTCCAAGCAGTTTGAACAATTGCTTGGTGTACCACTCCGTAACTCACATGTGCTAGCTACATTGTGTTTCCCTTTTACCTTCTGCATTCTATGGGAAGTCATCACTCATTCCAGGAAGGAAGTCTCAAGACCATCTGGCACTTTCATTTTCCCTGACAGCAGCCATATTACAGACAAAGCTAGAAGTCACTGCACCTTTGTGGATCTAATCCCGTGTGTCTGGAGAGGAGATGGGGGAGATCAGTATTCTCTGGGATCACTTTCCTAACAGAATAAAACCCAAGGGGCCTGGAAAGCAAGAACAGTTGGGGCTTCCTCTGTGAGTCCTGGAGAACAGGAGTATTCTCTAGCACATGGCTCTCCTTGCCACTGAGTGGACAAGCCTGGGCTACATGAGTCACAGGCTAGTTACTCTGACATCTAGTTTTCTCGTGGGAAAATGAGGGTTAAAAAAATAAACAATTCATTGAATTCTGAGGACTAAATGACTTATAAATTACCCTGCACAGTGCCTGGCATGGGTAGGTGCTCAGTAAACATGAGTGCCCTCCCCCACTTCCTGGTTTCTAAGCTTGTGAAGCCAACTCTACCATCACTGCCAGGAATCAGCTCTCTGTAGGGAGACTCGCCCCGCCTCTCTGCTCCTTCCCCGGCCTGCGCCTGCGCTGAGAGAGTGAAGTGAGACAAGCGCCTGGCAGGTTGCTCTTTCTCCCTCTCCCACAGCATCCAAACCCTCAGCTCTGTGGGGGCCTCACGGGATGCCACCCCAGCCTGCCCCACTCCTAAGAAGCACCACTTAAATCAAACTGTCAGATGGATTCACTGGCCCCTTTTCTTTATTACTTAGCAACACAGAGTTTGGTGTCACATCATTGTTTAAGAATTTTCCTAAATACCGCTGGAGAGATGGCTCAGTGGTTAAGAGCACTTGCTGCTCTTTCAGAGGACTGGAGTTCAATTCCCAGCAACCACATGGTGGCTCACAACTGTCTGTAACTCCAGTTCCAAGGGGATCTGACACCCTCACACAGACATACATGCAGGCAAAACACCAATGCACATAAATTAAAAGGAAAAAAAAGAATTTTCCTAAATACCAAGTTTATATTTTACTTGTCACTTACTGAGTTTGAAACTATACAAATAGACAATCTTAAGCGATTTCTCCTTAAAGTTCCAAAAGCAGGTCATCAGGTCAACAGAAATGCAAACATCAATTTGCCCGTTTTTTGCTAGATGGACTAAATCTCTCTAAGTTGATTCCAAGTCAAGCTTAACTGCTGATTTCTGGAGACAATGCTGAGGATACCTTACATGCCAGAATTACATGTTCATGCGCTGTTGTTCCAGTCAACGGAGCTTTCCCGATGTTTTTTCACAAACACCTCCCATGGTCTTTCCCAATCTGGCTGCAGAAGTGTTTACAGTGTTGGACTCAGTCACTTTTATTGCTTCCTCTCACAGATCAGATAGAATGACAGTGAGATAAATCCTGAGCGGTTCTCAAGCATTTCAGAACGCACACTCTCCTCAGACCGTGAAAAAGGATATTTGTCTCCCTGGCTTCTCCCCAGCCCGTCGGTGAAGTGGGTGGAAGCGGTTCCGGGCGGGCCTCTCCACCAGCCCATGGTGGCGGGTTCCACGGACGTTATCAGCTTGATGAAAAGACGGCTGCAGAGAAAGGAAGAACGTTTGGCCTCTAACCGTGAAGTTGCCACTCACCCTCCAGAGCGACTGGTAACAGACAAAAAGCCCGGGTTTCTAATTGTACTATTGCATGTTGGTGCTTTGTGTCAAGGTAAATAAAATGTCCCATGCGGCTGTTTCTACACAATTACAGAATACATCAAAAACAGTCTTCAATGTGTTAATATGGAAGCAGACAGACTATACATAAAAACTGTCATAATTAGGAAAAAGAGAATGGGGGGACTATGGCTTCAAGTTCTTCCAGTCTATTCTTGCCTTCTGAGAGCTAAAATTTTGAAACGTATTTACTGGGCCAGCAAGATGGTTCTGTGGGTAAAGGTGCCTGCCTCGCAAGCTCGAACCTGGGTTCAACCCCCAGATCCTACAAAGAGATGAAAGGAAAGAACCGTCTCTACCAAGCTGTCCTCTGACCTCTCCACAAGCACCACAGAATGTACACCCAAATGCAGCATGCACGAGTGTGCACTTACTCAAGCACACGCGTGCACACACACACAAATGTTTAAAAATGCAATATTGAGTTGGGTGGCACCTGTAACCCCAGAATTTGAAGGGGCAGAGTTAGAAGAACCATGAGTTCAAGGCCAACCTAGGCTAGAGAGTGAAACCCTGTTTCAAATAAATAAATAAATAAATAGGTATCAAAAAGAAACTAAACTCTGCTGCCCGAAAGTACTTTTTTTTTTCCTTTGCTTTTCAAGCTTACTTGTGCACAACTTTTGCATCGCTGTACCCAGACAGTGAATATATTTTTGAGATCTATTTTTGTACTTAACATCATTTCATAATATAAAATCTTTCTATTTACTAATTCAGAAATCATATAGTACTTCATTTCTAATACTCATAAAGCCAGCAATCTACATTGTAATTCAAAAACTGTATGATCTAGAGACGCCTCAACAGCTTCCTCTTGCTAACAAGTCACTCTGGCTTTCTTACCTATAAGACAGGAATGATAGTTTCCATTTAGGCTTGTGAAGATGGGAAATGAGGACAGGCGGCGGTGGTGGCGCACACCTTTAATCCCAGCGCTGGGAGGCAGAGGCAGGTGGATCTCTGCTGTGAATTTGAGGCCAGCCTGGGCTACAAATTGTTTCCAGGACAGTCAGGGCTACACAGAGCCCTGTCTTAAAAAAAAAAAAAAATGAGGGGCCAGTGAGATGGCTCAATGTGGTTTAGGTAATTGCCACCAAGTCTGATGGCCTGAGTTCAATCCTCCCAGGACCCACATGGTAGAAAGAGAAAAACGACTCCCATAAATTGTCCTCTGACCTCCACATACATGCCGTGGCACACATGAATAAACAAGTCAATAAATAAATGTAATAAAAATAAAGACAAAATAAAATGAAATGAGATCCCTTATGCGTGGACTGCTCTGTCCCAGATATATCTGGGCATTAGAAGGGAAGATGTACGTGTGACAGGGCATACTGGGAAACATCCCACTAAAGGTCACCCTGCAGATCCTTCTCATGGTTAGTGTCTTCTCCAGCACGGGAAGGAAGCCTCCCTACATCTCCCTCAACAGACCTAGACCTCAGTGAGGCACCATCTGTTGCTCATGCCACACCACCTCTAGCTGTAGGCTAGAATGAATGTCTGTGGAGCGGGGAGGTAAGCGGACAAGTGACTTGAGGCGGCAGTGGCCAGTGACTTAGGAGCAAATGGATATCTGGTCCAAACAAACTCTCATACCCTTTTCTTCCTGCTGTGAGAATGCTAGGTCCCAAATAAAGCATGTTCCTTCTGCCTGGACTGCAGAAAGACACAGGAGGAGAGGTTCAGTGGGTGCCCTGAAGCTATTGCCTGTAATCCAAGTGAAGAGCAGATGTCTGCTGAGAGCCCTGGTGTTTGGATCGCTGTTCCCGTAGCTAACCCTCCTGCTTCGGTAGGGACAGCAGGAAGAGCTGCACTGAGGAGAGCAGAGAACCAGGAGGCAGAAATCCAAGACTGTACACACTGCTGCCATATACTTTCAGGAGAGCCTCAGCTCAGCTCTGAGGAGTACTGTAAGGATCCAGAATCTGAGACTCAGGAGACCTCAGTGCTATCTGGGGTGCAGTGAGGATCACTCAAGGCAGATGAGCATTGTCAGCACAGCGCAGCAACAGAGGTGGAAAAGTCATCTGGAAGAATTTCTAACAATTCCAAGAACTCACTGTGGGAGAAACCCAAATTCAGCTGTATTTCCATGGCTTTTTGTTTGTTTGGGATAACTTTTATTCTGAAACAATAAAGGGAGGGCTGGCCAAGGAACCTGGTCAGGGTCTGGAGCCAGCGCTGCTCAAGTGGGCCCCTGAGCACCAGAGAGCAGAGGGAGGGAGCACGGGGCGTTGTTAGTAGCAACCGAAAACACTACCAATAGCCTGAAAGTGCAAGTTAACACCAGGAGGCCAGCAAGGACCTCAACAGCCCAGAGCTGGCTGCTGGGCTGTCATACAAGATGACCTGATTGTTGAGGGTGAGCACAGAGAAATGCCTGGGGAGCAACCCAAGGGACAAGAACTATTCTGGCCCTAAGTTATCAATCTGCAGGAGGGCAAACTGAGTAGAGCCTGCTCCAAAAAACAAGATTCCATGGAGCCCCAGAGGTAGGGAGCGGGCTGAGGCTAGCACTCAAGTGGGCAGGAGATGGCCAACGCCACTTCTTCCTTTGTTTCTGTGGTGAGCTATGAGGAAAGGGGATATGTGGATATTCAAAGCAGCTCAAACTACTGTGGGAACTGAATGTCCACATGCAAAGAACCTTGCTCTCAGGCTCTCCTTATCTTGCAGGATAGTAAACTCCCAAATTGTTCTGGAAAACAAATCTACCAGGGCAGCAAACTGGTCCTGCGTCTCAGGTATTAAGTGGCTGACAAGGCAGGAGAGCTACACCTAACACAGACGGCAGAACCTTTCAACAACGACTGCTGAAATCACAGCACTGTTAACATCAATGTCCACCCCACCCCCACCCCTGCAATGCTAGGCAAGCGCCCTACCACTGAGTTCCATTTCCAAACCTGGTTGAGTTTTTTTGGTGGTTGTCATTTTTTTGATAAGGTCTTGCTAAATTATTACTCTGGCTGGCATCTGAACTTGTGATTCTCTTGCCTCAGCCTCCTCAGTAGCTCAAATTACAGGCTTACAACACCAGGCCTCTGCAAGTTGTGGGTTTCAGTGAAGAAATCTAGAGCTAATAGCCCACTGTATTATACTCTCAGAGCACTCCCCCAAGGGACCAAGATCTTGGGTAGCAATCAACCTCTCCCACCCCTCTGTGTGTGTGTTCATATGCACACACACCCAGATTTATTAGGAAAAAGGAAGAAACAATTCGACAGAGTGGGAGGGGTTCCACAGAAGGAATATCCTGGGTTTGGGTATTGTGTTTGCTTGTATGTTTTGTTTTTAAGCAGATTCTGATATAGCCCAGGCTGCCCTCCTACTTAGCTGAAGATGACTTTGAACTCCTGGCCTCTTGTCTTCACCTCCCAAGTGCTGGATTGCAGATGTGCACCACCACGGTACTAGGGAGGCGCTCTGCCACTGAGCTGCATTCCCAGCCCCGGCGAGGGCTCTTCGTGTGCAGGTGACCATACATAGGTGACAGACAGCACACAGGTGTCCACACCATATCACTTCTGAAAGCCACAGCTGGTGCAGCTGGGCCCCTCCCCTCCCACTAGATTCAGTCAAGTCTAGTGGCCAGAGGGATACATTGCCTCCACTGGAGCTGCAACCGCTCATCACTAGGACACATTTACACTGCCTCTCTCAGCGGATAATCAACATTGCTGACCTATCATTACATTTGTGGTTAATTAGAATTCCACATCTTTCTCACTTCACTGGCAAACATATGGGGATTCCTATCAATCACTTTTGGTCATTCAATGAGCTGAGTCCGAGAGCTGTATGTTAAGGGAATTATCATTATTAAAGGCCTGTATGGGGCTGGCAAGACAGCTCAGGGGTTAAGAGCACTGGATGCTCTTCCAGAGAACCTGGGTTCGGTTCCCAGCACTCACCTGGCCACTGACAGAGAATCCATGCCCTCTTCTGGCCTTGGAGGGCACTGTACACATGTACTACAAAGACAAAACACCCATATACATAAAATAAAAATAAATGAATCTTAAAAAAATTTAAAAAAATAAGCTGGATATGGTGACACACGCCTTTAATCTCAGTGCTTGGGAGGCAGAGGCAGGTAGATCTCTATGAGTTCAAGGCAAGCATGTTCTACACAGTGAGTTCCAGAACAGCCAGGGCTATATAGAAAGACTCTGTTTCAAAAATCATAATTAATAATAATAATGATAAACAGTAAAGTTTAAAAGTATACATATGCAATAGTATATGATTTATTTATAATCAACCAAGACATACTTTATTTCTGTAGCAAAATAGAAAATAATTCTAAGTTAAGATTATACTTCTATACAAAGTAATTATTTATTCATTTGTTTGTTCTGTTTTTGTTTTTTCGAGACAGGGTTTCTTTGTGTAACAACTCTGCCTGCCCTGGAACTCACTTTGCAGATCAGACTGGCCTCAAATTCGCAGGGATCCGCCTGTCTCTGCCTCCAAAGGACTGGGTTTAAAGGCATGCACCACCACCACCTGGCTATACAGTTATTAAAAACAGAAAAATATGATTATAATACCTTAAAGTATGGGCTTCTAAGTACTAACCTTTTTTGGGGTGGAGGAGTTTTGAGACAGGATTAATCTATGAAGCCTTGGCTCTCCTAGAAAATGCTCTGTAGACTAGGCTGGCCTTGAACTCAGAGATCCACCTGCCTCTGCCTCCCAAGTGCTGGGATTAAGGGTGTGTGCCACTACCTCCCAGTGCTAATCAACTGACATTCTTTTTTTTTTTTTTTTTTTTTTTTTTTTTTGGTTTTTCGAGACAGGGTTTCTCTGTGTAGCTTTGCGCCTTTCCTGGAACTCACTTGGTAGTCCAGGCT